GGCATTTGCTTGGAGTCTCTGCAGAGTGGAGGACTCCCTATCCACTTTTCACACTGTGCACAAAGCACCTAGGAGAGCAGCAGCATGAGGAAAGACACAAATGACTTGATATCACCTAACAACAGCACCTGCCCTTATAAAGGTAAAGGTAAAGGTTTCCCCTTGACATTGAAGTCCAGTCATGTCTGACTCTAGGGGGCAGTGCTCATCTCCATTTCCTAGCCAAGGAAGCAAGTGTTTGTCCACAGAGTCTCCATGGTCATGTGGCCAGCATGACAAAATACCGAAGTGCATGGAATGCTGTTATATTTCCACCATAGTGGTACCTTTGTATCTACTTGCATTTGCATGCTTTTGAACTGCAAGATTGGCAGAAGCTGGGACAGAGCAATGGGAACTCACCCCGTTGTGTAGATTCGAACTGGCAACCTTTCAATCAACCAGCTCAGCAGCACAGCAGTTTAAACCACTGTGCCACCTGCATCCCACCTGCCCTTATAGAAGAATGCAAAACCTGCATCCCTCCAAGGACCATGTAACCCTTTGCTAATGCAGCCAGTTTGGTGCATGCCATGCAGATGGGCACAGTGAGTCTCTGGCATTCCTTGCACCCCTTGGCTCCACCACCATGGTGCTGCCGTGGAGTGCTATCTAAGCTAATGGCCATAGCCAGAGCTTTTGTGCATCAGGAGCATTGGAGGCTGCCCTGTGCCAGGCCAGGCTACTGGAGATGCAGCAGACAGCTGGCCTGGCACAAGGCAGCCTCCAATGCTCCTGATGCACAAAAGCAGCCTTCCACCATCGCTGGCGCTTGAAGGACAGCAAAATCTCCTAGAGATGGGTGGTTCCAGTGGATCAATTCACAGAGCTCCACCAACACAGGGACCGCCCTGCAACTCTGGAAGACAAGGAAGGAGGTCTCCCCCTGCCCCAAAATGCTTCCCTGGGCATTTTTTGAAGGGACAGTTTCTCAGATCAAGGTGTAGGCCCTGCTGCTGTTGCATCTGTTCAGCAGGACTGGCTGGATTTTGTCCACAAGTAAGTCACCTCGTGCTGCCCCCACCTTGAATCTTTGTCCTGGGAGTGTTCTCCGAAATCTGTTGGGCTCCTCTCTTCTGTCCATACATCCCTTTCTACAACTAGGATGAGACAGGCTTTGGACACACACACACTGGGGCATTCTTTCCTGTGTGCCTCAGGCCTGGATTTCTTCAGTTTCTCATCCCACCCCAGCTTTGGCCCACAAAACCTGAACCAGGGTGAGCTACCAGCAAGACCAAAATGCAGAAGCAGCCAGCTCCAGGGGCGAGAATGATGTGGCAAAGCTAGCTGGGACAGGACATTGTGGCTTCCACCATTTGCAAAGTCTCTCAGGAGCAGCAAGGGAAACTGAGTCAGCACATCCAAACAAGGAGGACAGTCTCTCCCTCCAAAGTACACCAGGCCACACAGGTGCCTGCTCTGTTGCTTGGTTTTTCCTCAGGATCATGAGCAGGCAAACTCAGGATTTGCAGAAAAGCCCTTCAAGGTGAGTGTGCTTCAAAAGCTAGACAGAAGCACAAGTCCTGTGCAACCCCCTTCTCTGCACAAAGGGTCCTGTTGCAGGCACTGCCTGAAACAGACTGCCCCAAAAAGGGAAGTTTGAAGGAAGAAAAATAGAACATCAGCAGAGTGACAAACTTAAAAAGCACAAAAGCAGATTTCAGAGAAGAGACCCAGAAACAAAGATGAAAACAGATGCATGGCCACAATTTAAAAGGCAAAAAAGCTGTAAAATTTCCATCACTGCATGGATATACTTACCATAAGGCCTGGCCCAGTGCCTGACCCCTGTCCCTTCTTGAGAACAGGAAGGGGGAATAGCCAAGACTGCTCTTCCTGGACCTTTTAGAGCTCCCACAGCTCGGGTGTCAATCAAAGGCAACAGAGCACAGCTGATGGGTGCTGAAGACCACACAGAACCTCAGATGGGATGTTCATGAAAGGGAACCAATTGGAGCAATACGATTGCTATTTCTTTCTTCATTTCTTCATACCCTGCCTTTCTACCCAAAAATGGTGTTCAAGGGCCCTAACCATAACAGTGCTGGACTAGAAGGACCTTTGGTCTGATCCAGCATAGCTTTTGTTATGTTCTTATGAATTCAGCCATCAGGCTGAAAGAGATTCCACTACCTAATGGAACTACCAGTTAAGGAATTGTTCACATTTTTGTCTATAACATGTCTCTCCACCTGCTTTTTTTCAGTTTCACATACATCAGTGCGTTAAACCATAGACTACTTCTGAATGCCTGATACAGGGAGTAAATGGAAGGAAATGACTATCACATTTATCTGTCAGTGTGCTTTCCACAAGGTTTCAACTGCCCATTGCTGGAAACAAGACACTGAACCGGACAGACTTTGCTTAAATGCTTGTGCCAGCGTGTAATTCTGGCCAAGGAGTGGAATCTTCCAGCTTGCAACTCACTGCTAATGCTTTGCGCCCACTCACTTATCATAAAATCATAGAATAGCGGAATTGGAAGGGGGGCAAGGAGGCCATTGGGTTCAACTCCCCTCCAGTTGCAGGACTCCAATTTATACCATCCCATTCAGATGACCATCCATTTTCTTTTTGAATGCCTCTAATGTGGGAGAACCCATACAGCCAGTTCCACTGTTGTATTACTCTGACAGTGAAGAAACTTTTTCTGATTTCTAGCCTGAATCTGGTTTGCCACAACTATACTCTGGTATAAGCAAGAAGAGATCTTGTCCTTCCTCTTTGTGACATCCTTTCAGGTACTTACAAAGTGATATCATGTCCCCACTCCATCTTCTCTTTGCAAGGCTGAACATACCCAGTTCTCTCAGTCTCTCTTCATAAGGCAGTATTTCCAAACCCTGAATCATTTTTGTTGTCTTCCTCTGGACCCTTTCTAATTTTCCTGCATCTTTCTTAAACTGTGGTACCCAGAATTGGATACAGTATTCTAGATGAGACTAGTGTAGAGTACAGGGAAATTAGTACTTTGATTTGGAAAATATATTTCTGTTAATGCATCCCAAAATAGCATTTGCCCTTTTTGTGGCTGTATAACCCCAAGGTCATCTTCTTTTTCCATTCTGTTGAGCCACATATTCCCCATCTTGTATTGCTGCATCTGATTTCTTTTTCCTAGGTGGAGGACTTGGCACCTGTCCCTATCAAATCTCATTCTATTCCTTTCAGCCCAGTGTTCAAGCTTATCTAGATTTTCCTGGATCTTCTGTCTTCCAGAGTGTTCACTATTCCATCCAATTTTGTATTGTACAAAAATAGTGTATGATGTTGATTGCCCAGTGGTTGAGAAGACACCTTGTAACATTCTCTCTTGATTTATGATGGAAGCAAGCAAATACACTGGAGCTATTTCCTCTGCCACCAGCAAACATTTCTAACAGCATGACCTTATGTGCCAGTTACTGCATAGCCTTACACTTAGCCAGTCCCTTGATTCTCCTAGTCACATATTTTCAGCCCTACTGCAATGGCCCCCCAGGGTTTCACATGGTGGGGATCCAGCCTGAGACCTTCTGCAAAGTATCTGTTCTGTCACTGAGCTTTGGCCCTTCCAGGACATACATGCTATTATTAGGAGGGAATGGGCTGCTTGCTAGAGGACTGCTCGCTGCCTTTCAAAAGTATGGCATTCTTGTCTTGTAAGTGGGATCCATGCTGGATGTTAGAAACCCAGGCTCAGCCAGTAAACCTTCTTCTAGTTTTCTAGATTGCTACTCGAACAATCAATATACCACTCCCCTGGGGCTGAAGGGAGATCTGGGGAACACCAAGTTGCCTATCCCTAACCTAAAAGTTTACTCAGCCACCATGGCCATTTTTCTGCCTCATATGGAGGGTGTGGCAGGGTAAAACCGTACCTTGTCTAGACTATACATAGTCAGACTGCCGATGGAAGACTGCAGCAAGAAATGTTTCCTTATACGGAAAAGGACATGTCAGGGTGCGGGTTAGGCTACAACTCTGCTCGCTGACCTCTAGTTTTCTCTCTGCGGGGCCTGGGAATGGGGGTGGCCGCTTCCTCTGCTGTTAATGACAACTAAGTCTGCTTTCCAGGTTGCGGGTGTAAACCTACAGTGCTACTCTAGGCATGTGAAGCAAGGGCAGGATACAGGTGTAAGAAATAAATAATACACCAGACAGCGGAGTCAAGCTCTCTTTCCGCGCAGCCAGGCTCCGTCTGCACGCGTGGACTCCAGATGCCAAAGCTCCCCCATTCATTTCAGCAATAGCATACGCATGGCATTCCAGTGTCTCCCACCCTTTCTCCAAAGAAACCCAGGACAACGTTCGTGAGATCTCCCCGAAACCGCCTCTCTTGGCTCCTCTCTCCGCGTAGACCCCGTCCGAGGCAGGAGCCCGAACGCCCCATTTCGCCTTGCCCCCTGCTACACCGGCTCGGCCCGCTCCTCGACGAAGAAGGAGTTAACACGTCTTTCCTCCGGCGGGGCCGTTCCCGCCCCTTCGCGGTGACCTCAGCACTCGGGCCACGCCCCCGCTCGGACGCTCGTACAAAATGGTGGATGTTGCCCTGTGACAGGTAGGGAGGAAGTTTTTCCTTTCCTTTTTGTTCCTCGCATTCCGATGGTCTCTCCCAACCTCGTCTCTCGTTCCCGGGTAGGTGGACTGGCGGGACGGGGGCATCGCCGACACGTGCCTCTCCCGCCGAGTGCAGGGGCTACCCCTCCCCCATTTCCTCCTTAATTTAGGGAGGGGGTCGCAGCCCCTTCCCCCTTGGGACTCTTGGTCATGTCCCATCTAGTGGGAGCTTTGGAATCCCTCGCGTACAGAGAACAGGGGCGGGGAAGGGGGTCTGTCCCGTTCACGCACCCCCCCCCCTCAAAAAGAGGCTGACGCACAGATACATCCCCCTGCCTCGGCAGCGAGGGCTTTGGAGTTGGCTCGGGGAGATCCTTCGTCCCTACGGACACGAATCGTTCCTTTTACGACGAGTGGAGTTCATTGGTCTGGATCGAGCAGGTGAAAGTGGGAGTGACAGCCGCTGCGTGTGGTTGCATGTGGGGTGGGGTGGGGTGGGGTGCGGGAGGAGGAGTGACTTTCGGACAGTCACGCTCGCTGCCTCTAGCTCTGCCAGGGAGAACGGGAGACGGCCGGCCTAGCGGTTAGAGCTCCATCACGCAAACCTTCCTAAGGGGCCCCTTGGCCCGGGAATGCTGCCTAACCGGCCTGGAGTTTGGCCTGCAGCGCTGGTTTAAAATGCAGGACGTTGGGCGACGTGGACTCCTCCTCCACACCTCCTGCCCCGCAATCAGATTCCTTCTCGCTAGTAGCCAGGTCGAGGCCGGAGAAAGAGAGCCTCATGCTGTTGAGCCTACGACACCTCTCCTACTCGGGAGTAGACTCCTGTATGTACGAACAGCAGCTCCAGATCTGGCTGGTGAAGAAATCACCTGTATTGCAGCTCCCCTTTAGTCTAGGGATGTGCAAAAGGTAGTTCTAAAGATTTTCCGGACTTCAGTTCCCAAAAGATCCTGCCAGCATGGCCAGTGGTCACGAATGCTGGCAGCTGTAGCCCTAAACATGTGAAGATCTTTATGCCCATCCCTGCTTAGCAAAAGTGAGCAGGTAGCATCTGACAGCATGCAGCTGTATAAAGTTAAATGATGACCAGAAAGCACCATCTCACAGCTGGGTCCCAAGACATTTTGTTGACCTGAAGTGGAAAATCCAAATGACACTGAACACCCCCACCCCCACAAGTGTGCACACACACAATTAAAGTGGGGCCTGGTCCAGTGAGAAGTTCTGAGTAAGCTTCACTGTGTGTGGTAGAGGGGTGAGCAAAAGGATTCTTTTCACTCAGGTGGCACTTGTTCAGGAGAACTTCCTGCTGCATTGGGTCAGAGCATGTCTTCTATTTTACTGCATGCAAATTCAGCCTTCCAAACCAGCCAACTTGCCTTGCTTGGTGATAGTGGCTGATTGTATGCCTTAAGAATGTTTTTGCTTCTATGATACATTAGTCACCACCTAGCTAATAGTTCTTAGGGTAGCACACAGTAGAAACATAAATGAAATCCATAAATCAAAAGAGAAAATGTCTCAGCATTGGAGTGAAGAACTGGACAAACTTCTCAAAATTGCTGGAAGGGAGGCAAGGGCAGTGTTTGAAAGAGGTGTGAAGGAGGTCCAGCCTGCTTGGGGGCCCTGTTGCCTACCCTACAAGGAAGCTCTAAAAAGCATGGCAACAGGTTGCAGTTGCACAGTGGGAGGAGGAAAAGCAGTCTGTACATGCTCAGAGGTGCTGTGTTTTGTTATATATCCCATCTCCTGAGGAGAGGTGAGACCACAGGATGAAGAGCAATGCTTACCTACAAGAGGTCTTTTCCTACTTGGGTTGCTATCCTAGCTTCTAGGCCAGCTCCAGAAGCCCTCATATGTTAGGGAATTAGCTCTGCTAAAGAGCTGCAGCACAGATTTGGCCTTCCTGCAGTCAGAAATATGGCCAATGAGTACCTGTGGCAGAGGGCCAGAATTTGGCTGTGGCACCAAGAATGTCTACCAGAAGATCTGCCTGGCTCCCTTGATGCTCACCTTTAGGCTGTTTTCATTCCAACAAGCTTTGTTGTGCCTTTTCATTTTGCATATCCTGTTCTGCTGTTGTTGCCTTTCAAGAGTTTAACTTTGGGTTTTCTGGTGCTGATTTTTGTTTTGCTACTATGACCAAATATGTATCCTAATCTTGATCGTAGGTGGCTTAACTGCTTAAGATTTTTTCATAGAGACATGAAATATACATTTCTATCGTAAGTACATTCAAGAGGAATAATTTAGAAAGACAGCTCTTCTGCCCCCATAAGAAGAAGGCGGATTTCAAGAATATTGGCCAAAGCTGGAATCACCACTAGTGTGGGGAATTGCAGTCCAGAAACATCTGGAAGGGCACATGTTGGCCAGCTGTGCCCTCCTTCAAGATCAAGAGACCTTCTCTTAGCAGCAGCTTCAGTGTAGGTACTGCACCCTCAGATGCTTGTGTTTTCCATAATTACCATCCCCAGTGACAAACCTACCTCCATGTTTCTATTTTGGTGCTGAAACAGCAGATGCCCTTGACACCTGTGATTAATGGCACCTAAGTGACAGAAGTGCTAATTTGTTTCTTTCAATAGAACATACAAGCCTCTGGGATCTATTAGAAAGTGCCTTGACAGCAAACCAAACAGCAAACATGTTGCATGTGTGTGTGCATGCGCGTGTGCATGTGTGAGACAAAGGCACCTGCTGAGGCATTCAGCCAGAAGTGTGCAGCTGAAGCTGAGGCGTGTGTGTGAAACTGCAGGTTACTGCAGAGTGAGTCCACTGGATTACCTGAAGTGGACCAGACATGGCAGCTTCACTGACAGCGCTCCTGAGTGCGGGTGGAGAACCTCTTTCTGCTCAAGGGCCAAATTCCATGGTGGAGAAGCCTTTCCAGTGGTGAGCTGGTAAAAGGGGTCAGAAATGCCAGCATATTGTGCTTGCTTTACTGGTTTAGGAGAGGCATTTCACCCTAGGACATGTGGGGCCAGCATGTAAAGCCTGGAAAGCCAACTCATGAACCATGGTCAGGTCAAAGGAGGTGCTGCTGTGTGGGGAGCCCCCAGGACTGGGTTTGGACTCTGCAGCAGCTATATTGAGGCTCCAGGCCTGAGGTTCTCCATCACTACCTTGGAGCTCCCCAACCTAGAATTGTTGGTCCCAGTAAACAAGCATAAGAACCCAAGGGCAGACCTGGTAGATTGGATCAAGGCTGCGTCTTGGTTCTGTTCCCACTGTGGCCAACCAGGGGCCCACAAGAAACCCACAATCAAGACAGGGATGCAATAGCACCCAAGTTCCCCAGCAACTGGGATGCATTGGCACACTGCCTCTGGATGTAACATATCACCATCAAGGAACCCAAACAAGAGAGCTGCTGAAGTTGCAGATTCCCCCTGCTCTGATAGACTGGCTCCATCTCAGAAGCTGCTGGGTCAAGATTCTGTGCGGACTGAGAAGCATCTAGGCAGCCAGTGAAAGCAGGCCAGAATTGGTCCTGTATGTTTGAACCTTCTGGTCTTAATTATTAGTCTGGCTGCTGCATTTTGCACAAGCTGCAGTTTCTGAACAGTCTTTGAGGGTAGCTCCGTGTATTGCAGTAATAAAGTTTAGAGAATACTGGAGCAGAGCTTACTGAGCCCAGGCTATCTCTGTCCAGAAAGGGGTATAGGTGGGCCACCATGCCACTGAGACTGGGGATCTAGGTAGGAGCAGAACTGCTGTGATGCAATAGCCCCATTCCCAGCTCAGACAGTTGCCCCAGAAGGATGCCATGGTCAATGGTACTGAGAGATCCAGGAGTATCAAGAAGGTCACATTCCCCCTGTCTTTGTTCCCACTCAGGTCATCATACAGGTGACCAAAGCTGCTTTTAGCCTGAGCCCTGACTGAAATGGATCCAGATAATCACTCTCATCCAGGAGTGCCTGGAGCTGGTTGGCCTCCACCTGATGAAGGACCTTGTCCAGGAAGGGAACATTTGCCTAAAGTTGTTAGGATCCTCCAGGTCCAAGGAGGGCTTCAGGAGTGTCACTGCCTCTTTCAGACAGCACAGAACCACTTCCTCTTGCAAAGAGGCATTAATCACCTCCTTGGCCCAGTGGGCAATTCTCCTTGCTAGCTTTTATAAACCACAAGGGGCAAGGATCCAGTACAGATGTGGTTGTATAAACCTGTCCAAGTAACCTGTCAGCACCCTCAAACTGAACCTTTTGGAACTCTTCCAAAAAACTTAGCCAAGCTGTGTTCTGGGTACCTCACCTGATGCAACAGCTGTAATATTGGAGTCTGTCCCAGTGGATGCAAGAAATTTTACCCAGGAAATCCTTAGTAAATTAATTACAGTGGGCTTCAGACAGGGCTATGATGTTCTTGGGACCACCATGTAATCAGCCCCAAATGGCCCCAAAGGAAGATTGAGTAAAGGCAGCAAGGTGCTGTTTCTTTGCCAGTCTCACTTTCCCTAGATATACGTGACTAAAGGCACATACCAAGACTCAGTTGCATCTACTAGGAAGTTTTTCCTGTCTGCACCTAGGCTGTTTCATTGTTCTCAGCTCCACTTGTATGAACTGTACTACCAAGAGGACATTCAGAAGTGATTGGGACAAACACCCAGGCCATCCCTGTATTCAACAGGTTGAACAAGAATTCAATGGGACTGCCAGCTGTACTAACCCAGGAGCCTTCTGGAAAATATCCAGATCCAGGGCTGGACTATTTTAATGGGTCCCCCATCCTTCCTAATAATAATCTAAATCTCAGCAAGCAGCAATTTGACCACAACAAAGGGATGCATTCAAAGTCCTCCACCCTCAGATATGCCCATACCCAGTTGGGAAAACAAACCAAAAGCAAATTGTGGCCTGGTGGAACATACCCATCTATGTAATGGGTTTAATGGAAGCCTGGGATAGATAAAAATTGCAATGACTTGGATGTGGTTAGTTTGTCCTGGAAGCAATGCTGAGTTGAGTTAGCAGCCCAAGCGTTGTTCTGTATCTCAAGGGGATGAGGGAAGTTTTTCTGATCGTGTCAAAAGCATTCCAGGTGAGAGTAGTGTGAATAAGGATAACATCAACTAAATGAGGCTGAGCCTTTGCTGCACTCGGATCTGCAGCCTCTCCCTGCCAATGCAAGAAAATCTGGATGGTGCAGAGTTTCTTTGAGGCTACCTCCCTATGGTAAATGCTACCATTGGGTAGCTCAGCAAGAGGCAAAATGCAGCACAGAGAAAACTAGCTGGTCTGTGAAGATCATGACTCAATTGCAAAAGCTCTCTGCCAAGGACGTGGACCCTCTTCCAGTCTAAGGCTACATTTCATTTTGGAGAAGGTCTTGCAGCCGCATTCGAGTGACAGGTGACATTCAAGATGAAAAGGACTGGGCCAGAATGCCAGAATATTTTAATTTATTTAATATTTAAGGTGCTTATTGCCAGTTATTAAATCTTGGAAGAGGCATCTCAAAGTTTTAGAATGGGGCAAAGAATGCAACAGCTGGGAAAACAGCAAACAATGGGTGGTGGGGATAAAGGACCAGAGCCATCTGTGGAATCCCAGAAGACCAGATGGGGACAGCAGAGGTCCACCCTCTCTGCTCTAGGCATATAACCATTGGGCAGTGTGTTGGAAACCTCAGCGGGCCTCTTTTTGCTACAGTCCAGAAGGGCAAACCAGGGAGCAGGGCAAATTCTTCAGCGGATGGCTGCAGCTGACTGAGCCCATCTCCGCAGCAGTATGGTTAACATTTGCAGCATGCCCCCAGAACAGCCACTAAAAACCACTGCACACATTACAACCACAACATGATGTGCGTACCCGCTATGTTTGTTCTCTGAAGTCTGTGCGTTCATTTCCAAGCACTACATTTAGGAAGCATGGGGTCAGGGGGAACTGTCTTTCCCTTAGAGTCATTCCACCAGCTTGGAATTGTCTATCTCAAAGGGCAGGTGGGCCAGATGCTTTGCAGGACAGCCCCTTTTATTTTTGACAATTAGCTGTGATGAGACTTGGAGCCTAAAATGTCTGGCACTTTCCTAGTCTATATTGCCTGGTCTTCCCTAGTCCTACCTGGAGATGCCAGAAGTTGAACTGGGGAGCTTTTGCATGCAGAATCGGCACTCTGCCACCGAGCTATGGCGTTTCCCCAACTCATGGGCCCCAGCTGCCCCAGATCAGCCCAAGAGCCGCATCTCTTAAAACTGGAGCCTGTGGCCTGACATTACCAAGGAAGCGAGCAACAAACTGGGCATTAGGCACAGAATCCTGCATCCTGATCAACAAAACTATTTCCCACTGACTCTCCAAGTTGTCTACCCCTGCAGCACCACCACTTTCCAGCCATCTGCTCTCCTAGAGCTGGTCCCCCTGTTTCCCCCAACTGCCTTCAGTGTCCAGAACTCCCTCCAGGGTGCCCTTGTCCCCAGTCGAAAAGAGACCCTAGGAAAGCCTTCTGTGAGCTGGTTCCTCCAGATGTTTTAGGCCACAAGTCCCCCAGTCCTTGAGAATTGACCGCGTTGGCTAATGTGGATGCATTAGTTAGCCCCCAACACCTCTGGAGGGAACCAAGTTGCTGGCCCTGATCTCCACTGGAGATGCCAGGGGGTGTACCAGGGACTGTCAGCATACAAAGCAGCTGTTCTGTCACTGAGCTGCAGCCCTTCCCCATTTTCAAATGTGCTTTTGATTGCATGTACATGTACGCCAATGAGCCTGCCAGATCCTTGTTTTCCATCACATTGGCATTTTGCATCTACCTGCCCTGTGGTTTTGTGGCTGTCCTGATCAGACAGCACGGAGCATAGAGCGCTGGGTGCCAAGTGACCAGAAAAAATAAGCCTGGCCTGCCCCTGCATCTTTAGCAACACCTTGCTCTGCAGAAATTGCCAGGTAAAGCTTTTCCAGGCATGGAGCTTGGTGTAGTCCTTGACTAACAGCTGCCTGTATCTGGCAAGTTTATAGAGAAACCCAGCCAGAGGGGCTAGCTGAAAATTGCAGTGGACTTTTCTTGTTGGCAACTTATCTACAGCTAGATCATTTCTGCCATGCCCCTTCCTATCCATGCATTACTCATGGAGACAGAAAAAGCCTTTACAGTAACAGACCAAACAATTCATTTCACTACAGTAACAGAGCATGTAAATTAATTGCAAATCAGATGGTATTGGCCATTAAGACACAGTATCAGCTGATTAACCAGCAATGCAGAGGTCAAAGACAAAACGGCCAGACCTTTCCAATGCATTGAAACATTCACAAACACACAGCTGATAACCACTCTCCTCTCACCTTCACACATGCACATAACTGCAAAATGCAGGAAGCAGCAACCAGGTTTCTTATAACCTCCAAGCACGGATCACTCTCACACTCAGACACTCATTGTAGCGCAATTTTTAGGGCTCCAAGAGAGTCCAGGGTGTGTGTATGCTGAGGGGGTATTTTTATTCCTTTCGTCTGTGCTTTGATTGTTCCTGAAGGCCTGTGGAAGCTCCAGGTATGTTAATGGGAAAGCTATGTGCCACTCCCATTATAGGCCATCCCCAACCATCCCTCTGATCAAGATCTCCCCAGAATGTTGGGTGCTGTGTGGCATCACACCCCAGTACAATTACCTGTGATAATTCATGCAAATAGGATTTTGCTATGCCACAAGGTAAATCTCTCTTTTTGGCTGCTTACACCTCAAGCCAGAGTTTGGCTACTTTCACCACCAACATGACAACCAAAACAAAATCATCTTCCCTTAAATTGGGAATGCAATTAGAAAAAACCCTCTGCTAATTCAGTGCCTCTTCAATCCTCAAGTTGCAAGCCAGGTGCTCTCCTTCTCAGCAGCTACCCTTCCTTTCTGCCTGATGGATAGTGATGTGTAACCACATACACACTTTCAGGGCTGACCTCTCTCTGTTTCTCCCTGTAGGCACCTGGATGAGACACAGCCAGAACTACTCTGGCTCTCTTACGAATGGCTTCTCTTCATCCTGCCCAGACCCAAGCCCTGCAGGTGGGGGTGGGGGTGAGGGCCCCCCACCTTCCTCGAATAGCCTGATGACAACCCTCACTTCCCGCAAGAAGAAGAGAGCCATGGCCGAGACTCGGGGTACCATCAAGGTGGATCTTCCCAATCAGCAGCGCACTGTGGTGAGTGAGGCACTTGGATAACAGCATATAGAGAAGGGGCCATTCATGGTTCCTGTTGATCATCATGAACCTGTGTCACATCCTTTTATGCAGGTGGGGGAACCTGCTGCCCTCTAAATGTTGCTGGACTACCACTCCTATCACCCTGGCCTTTGATGCTGTCTGGGGCTGATGGTAGCTAGAGTCCAACATCCGAAGTTGCCTGCCCCCCAACTCCTGCTTTAAGACAGGGGTCGAAGGGGTTATGACTGGGTCAAACCCCAATTTAAATTAGCAGCATTTTAGTTCAGCAGACTTGCTACTTTTTATGTTTCTTCACATTTTTAAGGGAAAAAAAAGATGAAGAGGAAAAGAGAGAGGGAAAGAGACAGAGAGACAGAATAGGAAAAAGTCAGAAAGAGAGAGGAGAAGCAAAACAAAGAGGAAGAATGAAAGAGAAGGAAGAGGACATATTGGGAAAAAGTAAAAATCAAAGAAGTTCTTGTTATTTCTAAGTTGAGGATAAAGGTGAATTTCTCACCATTTTAACAAATCAGTTTGATGTACTAAGATTTTCTTTTAATCTTTTGCTCTATTTTATTGTATGTTATTAGTTTTAGATTTGTTTGTAAGCTACCCTGAGCAACTCACTTTTAAGCAGAAAGGCAGGATATAACCTATGAACCACAACTTACTTGGATTTTTATCATCAACATCTGAGGCTTTCCTCTGAGTGGCAACTCTTAGGAGAGCCTTCTCAGTGGCAGCCCTCCAAATGTGAAATGATGCCCCACTGAGGCCACCACCATTGTCACTTTTCAGCAGCAGGCTGAGATGGCCTTCTATGCTGAGACATTTGGAGACATCCAAGGATATTTAATGGCTTGAGGGGCATAGCCATGCCATGTGTTTCATAGGTCTATGCTGTATCATATAATTTTTGGTGTTAAATTCTTATTAGATTTTATATTGTAGAAAACGTTTCTGGTGTTTAATTTTATTGGCTGTTTTATGAACTGTTGTAAACTGCCCAAAGAACTTAGTCTATTGGGTGGTATATAAATGAAATTAATAATCATAATAAATATATAATCCTAGGTTGGGAAAAGATGAGTGTTACTACTTTGGAAGAAAAACCTGTACTGAAAGACAGATTATAAATATTTTAAATAAATACCATAAAATAATGGTTCTCTAATAAAGCCTAGCATTGGGGCCCTGTGATTCCCATTTTAGAGGTGGGAGAACTGAGGCTGAGTATGGCCATTTGGTGAGTCCAGAAAGATAGAAGAGTCCTTGACTGGACTATGGGACCATAGGGTCAGGGACTACCGTGAGTACCCTTGAATCAGAGCTGGAGCAAAACAAAACAATCTGCTGAAATGTCAAAATGAGGATTTTCATTTCAAAATTTGGCCTCAGTATTTATTTTTTGTGTGGTGTCCAATATGAAAATGCCCTAAGCTGTCAGTGATCATATACTGTCACATATCAAAGATGAGTCATTAAATGTACTGCAGGCTGTTGAATCCCAGCTGTCAAAATACCAAATATTCTGCATCAGCCATCAAGTGCTCTAAAACATAAGAACCAAACATCAAAATAAGCTGCTGTTATGCATCAAACTTCTGTCCAATACTGGATATCAGAATTCACCAATTTGAGGAGAACACGGCCAATTTGCCAAACCCCAGATCCAAACTAACCTGTTGCCATCTAGTAAGTACCAGTGGTCAGAAAACTAAGTTGGGGAGGCTGAAGCCAGGAATTTCCAGTTGTTCAGGAAAGCTCCCAGCTCAGATAGGTTGACTTTTATATAGTCCTTCCTGCCCAGGAAGGGCCAATGGTCAGCTGGTGTCTGGAATCCAAGAAAACCTGCCGGTCACTCCAGATGTTCCAAGGTGCAGTTTTGATCACTCACCACTTGGGGGAAGTTCTATGGAGATAGTCAAAGGCTCTCAGTGCTCTTTGCAGGAGCTTCTGATTGTAAATGTCTGGCCAGTTTGGAATTTGTACCCAGGCTTTGTAAGACGGTGGTCCTCACTGACCCATCTTCCACATGGATGAATGAATGCAGCTGAAGAGTGCAGTGATCAGCACCTGCTGGCAGCAAGGAGAAAAGCAGAACTCATTGAGGGCAATTCCACATTGCCCCCTGGTGCCCTCCCCTGCCCACACAGCTGCTTCCTGCTTCCTCCCAGGTGACTGTCCGGCCAGGTACAACAATCTACAGCTCTTTGGACAAGGCCCTGAAGGTGCGCGGGCTCAACCAGGACTGCTGCGTTGTCTACAAGAAAAGGAGAGATGGGTGAGTGAGTGTATCCCATTCAGGAGAGGCGGCTGCCATTGGCTGGGGGATGCTGAGGGGCATCCTCCAAGCTGGGTGCGGGGAGGAGCAAAGGAAAAGTAGCATTGTACAGCAAAGCCCATGTGTATGGACCCACACATGGCACAAAGAAGAAAACGCTCTTGGGAACCAGTGAAAAACATTTCCAGGCCAAGGTATTTCAGGGAAAAAAAACTTCTTTCCTCAGGGACCACTTATCTTTCGTTTGAAGGTACTGAAAAAAAGTATTTTTCCAATGTCTCTTCTGTGCTGAGAAGCTCACAAAGTGCATTGTTTTGGAATAAGCGACCCTTGAAGAAGGAAAAAGATTTCTTTCCAAATTGTGTTGGGTAGAATGAATATTTTCTGCAGGCCCCTGAGAACTTTATTATGTAACACACAAATGTCTTTCGCCTTGTAGAACACGTGTATATGCACATGCATGCACACTCGCATACACACGTCCTTTTCAGAAATCTCTTTACAGATATCAAAATTGGGTTTGCGGGCCAGGGCTGCCAAGGTGGGATGGTGTAATGTGGTGTCCTGCAACAGCAGGGGGTTGGATCTGATGGCCTTCATGGCCCCTTCCAACTCTACTATTCTGTGATTCTAAGGTGAGTACTAATTAACCAGCTGGCTAAGTGAAACTTCCAAATTCAGGGGCAACAGGCATGCCACTTGCTAGAAGACAACAGCAAGGAGGGCACTTTGACTTCAGCAGCATTGCGCTCAGCACTGTTGAAAGCAGGACACTGGGGTGGATCAGGGCTGCAGAACCTCATCAGGATCTCTGGGGTTCAGAGGACTGTGCCCCCTTAGGTGGTTCTTCCCCTAAAGTATTGGCATGCCTTTCTCTGAAGGTTACCAGCTGCAAAAGCTTCATGCTGCAAGATGCTGTGGGGAGTGACCCTGTTTGCCTTGGGCTCCGCTCAGCTCTGGCATGCGGCCTGCGAGTGGTGCCCTGAGATGGAACTCAGCCCTTCCTGCAGTGTGGTTGGCCTTGGGAAGACGGAGGGGAAATATGGCAGCACTCCTCAAATGTTTGAAAGGCTGTCACAGTGAGGAGGCCCAGGATCTCTTCCCGATCACCCCAGAGTGCAGGACACAGCGTAATGGGCTCAAGTTACCAGAAGCCAGAATCTGACTGGATATGAGGAAGAACTTCCTGCCAGTTAGAGCAGAATGACAATGGAACCAGTTCCCTAGGGAGGTCGTGGGCTCTCCCACACTGGAGGCATTCCAGATGCAGTGGACAGCCACCTGGTTTAACTGGGAGTCCTGCACTGAGCAGAGGGTTAGACCCGATTTCCAGCTCTGTGATTCTATAAAGGAGGTTCAACCCCAGCAGGCTAGATGAACCCTTGCTCCGTCCCAGTAAGGCTGCCCTGAATCTTGATGGGCACAGCTGCCAGGGCTGCCAGAGTTGTTCCCATGCATAGCCACATGGTTTGGCTCTCTGCCTTGCTCCAGGACTGTGCCAGCGCTGACCAGCTCCTTGGGAGGAATGCCGCCCATGCAGCTTAGAAACATATCAGGAAATCAGATTGTCTGGATGACTTTCATACACATTTTGCTTGAGTTTCTTTAGAAGATGTGTGCTCTGCCATCAGATACATTTTTCTGAACATCGGGATGGCTTAGACCAGTGGACTTGGCACCCTAATGTGTAAAATACTTTCCAAGCATTATTTGCTGAGAGGGACTCCTCCAGGACTAGAAGAAGCAGCAGCTGCCCTGGAACCCATCCTGCTGCTGCTGGAGATCCAAAAGCCTTGGTCCTTCCTTGCCTGATTGCTTTCCTTCCTCATCAGCCCCATGCCCCTTCCCTCCATTTCCTGCCTCTGCTGTCTTTTCTTCCTCTCTCCACCCTTTAAGATGGATAAGCAAGCTTCCACAGCTTTCTTGCCAGGATTCTCCTAACACCCCCTGCCAAGAAAAAAAGGGGGGGGACATGGAGGGGGTTTGCAAGCTCATGCAAGGAATTACTCAAACTTCAGATGGCAGGTCTGCCCGCAAGAACCCCCCTCACAGCAACATGGGCTTAGGGTGTGGGGACAGCTTTTATTGAATTTGTGAAGGGAGGAGGGCAGAATGTGAGCACTGTTTTTAGGTCCAGTCCAGACTGATACAGGTCTAGGCTGATTTGAGATGGATGGATTACAGCTTGAGTGCCATATTCTTGCTCCCACAAGTGGCATTTGCTTTTCAAAAACCTCCCTCCCCACATTAGCATACTTTTCCCTCCCTGCTCCAGGGCACCTCAGTATCCCCTCTTTCTGTGTGTTTTCTCTTCAGGCTCTTTCTTCCACCCCTAGGCCTCTGGGCTTCTAGCCCCATATCATGGAGGACCTCCTCCTGATTTTCCACCTGCCCCTCAGAGCTATGCCTCTCCTGAGGGCTGGGCTGAGGGGCGGACAACCTGCTGCCCTCTCGATGTCTTGGACTACAACCTGTGCAGGCCCAGAGTGTCAGCCCTGCTAGCCAGCACACCTGTGAGCTGCAGTCTGAAACATCAAGTCACCAGGTTGCCTCTCCCGTCTTGAGCATCTCTGTGAGGTTTGAATCCCAGCCAAGTGGACGGCCTTCCCCTCTCTCACTGAGGTGCCAGCAAACATCCTGCTGCTGGGACATCCATAAGGACTTCAGCCCAGCTCCGCCAATATTGTACTACCCAAGTGCAACAGGACAGGACCCCACCAGCCTTGCATCTGGTTAGCAGCTGTGGTGTAAAAAGGAACACTTAATATTAAATGTTAAGTATATAATGTATACTTGACTATACACTATATAGTTAATTACTTAAGTAAATACTTAGTATATATTCTTAAGAAAAGTTTTCATGTGAAAATACTGTGGATGTTTTCAGGGCGGAATGGGGATTATTTATTATGTCCCCAGCATCTACCCAACCCTGAGCACTTGGGATTCATCCACATGGAGAGTTGGTGGTGTGATTGTGGGGGGTGGAGGTCCTTTCTCTCCAGTACTTGTTACTCTGCCGTTCAACATTAAAGACAGGAAGCAGTCCTGGGAGAGCTGGCTTGGGGTCACACCACTGCATGGCGATTCCTCACTGCAGTTCTGTGTGCAGGCGAAAGACCATCACAGACTGGAACACTGACCTGGTCAGCCTGGAGGGGGCCGAGCTCTCTGTGGAAGTTCTGGAGGATGTTCCGCTGACTATGCACAACTTTGTGAGTCTTGGATGACAGCATTTTCCTTGGTCAGATGTACCCTAGCCCTGTCCTGGAAAGATTGGATGTAAAGCAGCATGGGGGGATTACTAGTGGCCCTCCAGGGGTTATTGTTGGACTACACCTTCTAGCATCCCAAGCATTGCCTATGCCCTTTTGGGCCAATGGGAGTTGGAGTTTAACATCATCCAGAGCTTCCTCACCTCTATTATGAAAGCACACTATCCCGTCTCCCTACCCAAAAACAGTCTACAGAAACAGACTCGCCCACTGTTTCTCTGTGCATGCAGCAAAATCCCCTGGCAGTCCTTCATGGGCTGTACCATCACAGAGGAGAGGTAAGCAACATAAAAGGCTCATTACACTGTTCTTGTTCTTTTATAGGTGCAACCTTAGATCAGCCTTCCCCAAGCACACCCACCAGATGTGTTGAACTACTCTTCTCATCAACCTACTAACATGATTCCGCTTGGTGGGAGTGATGGGGAGTGTAGTCAACCAGTGTGGAAAGTGCTAGGCTGCATCAGAGTCCACTCCAAACCTCACCATGTTCCTGTGCAGACCCACAGACAACCCCCAGCACCTCAGAAAGCACCCCTGACCTGACACCCTGTCCAGCTTCTACCTCTCTGACCGCATCCAATTTCTTGGGCAGGTCCGGAAGACCTTCTTCAGCATTGCCTTTTGTGATTTCTGCCTTAAGTTCATGTTCCATGGTTTCCGCTGCCAGACGTGCGGCTACAAGTTCCACGAGCACTGCAGCAGCCGCGTGCCGACGGTTTGCGTGGATCTCGCCACTACGCATAAGCCGTGAGTATCCCTCGGAGTGCTGTCCCCCAGCATCTGGGCAGAAGTTCCAGGAAGTGCCTCAGCACCCATTGATTTATGCATGTGGGATAGAAATATAATAAATACATCTCTCTCATTGTGGAACTCAAGGTGGCTTCATGCTGTTCCCAGGGGGTCTTTTCTCCAAGTACAGGCCAGCCCCAGCCCTGCTTAGCTTCAACATGATGGGTGCCTGATGTGCCTTCAAGCCATAAAGCATCATTTCTCTCCCCTGCAGTGTTTACAGTCATGAGTTGTGGCAGTACCCTGCCTTGTGGTCTGACAGTGTCCCTGCCACTCCAGCCCAGCTCAGCCACGAACCCATCACTCCACATGTGATCAGGTAAGAGAGGCTGACTACCCGAGTGCACAGAATGCCTGCGTTCAAACTCACCACCAGGGAGCAGTGTGGAACCACATGAAATTCTGGCCACTGGATTGTAACACTTCTTCCTGTTCCCTGGCATCTTAGGGACAATTCCAGGTGAAACCTGGAAGGATCATATCAGATGAAAGAACCCAGTTTGAGTGTCTGCAAAAATCCCTTTCCCCATTTCTTTTTCTAAGGCTGTTCATGCACTGACCCTAAGACAGTGGTTCCCTTTTCTATGCCTCACACCCCTAGAAAATGTTTGATTTAAGTTCATGCCCCCTACAAAAGTAATATCACATTTGAAGATGAAGAAAGCAAATTTCTAATTTTGAACCTCAAATTGAACCACATACAGAGCTGCAAGTGAACAAATTGAACTAACAAAAATAAGCTTTTAACTCAGTGGATAAAATTCAAATATACATTCAGCAATTAGAAAAAATGTAAACACTAAAAACAATCCTAATGGTGAACATAACATTCAATGACTTCTTTGTTCCTGCCTCTCATTCACAATTTTGTCAAAACATGGAACTTTCTTGCTGATTGTGATTTGCAAGTCTGCCAGTGGATTCAGATGATTCCTAGATTTTGTCTTGGTTGACAAAAGAGAACTGAATCCAAATGCAAACAAAATAATAATACATAATTTTATTATTGGGATAATGTTTGGTGGAAACAGTTGCAATTCGCCAATTTTGGTGTATCACGAAACAGCCTTCCTCTTTGTTGCACCCCCTGCAATGCCATCGCTCACCCCCTAGAGGTGCAGGCACCCCAGGCTGGGAACTCCTGCCCTAAGGGAAGCTGCTCCTACCCTCAGCATGCACACACCTGCTTTTTGTGGCATCTTGCCAGTTGAAGGGATCTGGAGATCTCAAAAGTGTGCACGTTGCTTAAGTGCATTGGCCTAACAGAGATATAACCCCAGCCCTCCCCAGCCTGGTGCTGTTGGACAACTGCTTCTGAGGTTTGTGACCATGCTGGCTGGGGCTGATGGACACTGAAGTCCAGAGCAACTAGAGGGCACCAGGCTGGGAAAGGCTGAATTCAGCAACAATGGAGTTTGGATTTTCTTTCCAAAAAAATTTCCAAAACAAGATGGTTATCAAGCAGTGGTTACATGCCCAACAATTCACGCAACACTCACACGACCTCAAAAAACTTGATTTTTGAACAAGTAGCCTTTAGGCTTGACTCAAAATGGAGCACTACATGGATATTTGGAGTATATGCATACTCATCATTGATCAGAATAGTATGTTTTGTTAAATATTAACACAAATGGAACTGGTTCTGGGGATCCCCTTTTTTCTTCAATACCATTCAAATATTGTATTTTCCCTTTTTTCAGTGGTGTGGTTTGGTTGTTTTTGTATTGCACAATAAAAATCAAATTTTTTAAAAATTACCTTTTTAAAGAGGAAGATTGTAGGCTTCCTGTTTTCCAAAGGCAGCTCCATGGGATGCGGGGTGGGGGTGGAAACAGGGACAGCCTTGAGTCTGAGAGTGTGCTTGTGCGGCTTTTCTGGCAGTGGACTAGGCTGTCTTCAACATCCCGAGCGAGGGGTGCAGCCTTCGCAGAGTGCCCGGAAAGTCACCCCTTCCTCCATCTCCCCTTGCAGCCCTCGCAAGCAGTCGCCCCCCCGCTCCGAAGCCTTCAGCTTCCCCAGCCCTCTCAGCGATGGGCAGTGCCTGCAGCGCCACCGCTCCACTTCCACTCCCAACGTCCACATGGTCAGCACCACCAGCCCTGTGGACGGCAACATCCTTGAGGTGAGGCCAGCATCTCTGGGGACAGGAGGGGGTGCCCCTGCCCCACCCCGGGGAAAGGGAGCAAGGGCATTCGTGTCTGCCAGAGGAACCTAGCAATGGGCACACCTGCTCCCCAAGACAGGCTTCCTGTCAGCAACAGCTCCTGGCCCCTGAGCCACTCCAGGCTGAGAGCCTCTGAGCATTCATGCAGCCCCCTGTCCTCAGGGTCACTGCCCCCATTTCATCACCCTCATTGCCACTTTGCATTTATAGCCCATCTTTCTTCCTCTTGTGAGGAACCCGAGGCAGTTTACATAGCTCCATTTTATCCCCACAGCAACAACCCTGTGAGGTAGGCTGAGCTGAGATTCTGTGACTGGCCCAAAGTCACCCAGCGGCTGAGTGGGGACTCGCACCCAGATCTCCCTGTCCCAGGCCTGCGCTCTTAAGCACCGCACCACAGTGGCCCTCAGCTTGGCCAAGCTGCAGTTCGATGCCTGGCAGGCTTGCGGCCCCCTCTGCCCACTCCCCTCCCTTTGTCTTGCGGAGCCTCTGGGCCCTCCCTCCTTTGTGTCACATGGAGACGTCCAGCCCCAGCAGCCGCCAGAGACCCCAGGAGATGCAGTGGGGGCTGGCAGTTCACCTGCTTTGCATGCAGGAGGTTTTGAGTTCAGCCCCTGGCATTGCCATCTAAAAGAACCTCTCATAACGTGAAGATTCACTAGCATCCACTAATTAACTTTAACATTAGTTACTTTACAATTAAATAGTATTAGGTAATTAAATACATAATTGGGTAATTAATTATTAACCAATGGGCATTCATTCACAATGCTTCTTTGTAGTAATTCACATTAGTTAATAATATATCTTAATTGTTGTGAGCTGCCCAGCCAACCTCTGCTGTTGGGCAGTATAGGCATGTAATAAATAAAATGAATATATCAGCATAAACATCCATTGGTATTCATTAATAGCAACTGAACTTACTTGTTTCATCCATCTATTTATTGATGACCCCAGAGCAGCCTGGCCAGGAGGTGGGCTGGCCCACTCCCACAGCTGAGCTGGGAGAGCTGCTCTGGCAAGCAATGTCCAGCTGGGGTGTCAAGTCAGCCGGTGAGATCCATGCACCAATTCCCGCTCTTCCGTGTGTTGAGGATCTGAGCCCCAGCTGCCAGGAACTCCCTCCTCCCTCCCAGCCCCTTTGCTCCATTCTCATGACTTTGGAAGTTTGCAAACCTTCAGGCAGAATACAAAATACTTTTACAAAGTATGTGGATTCTCTGGGACCATGGTACTCAGTTCAGTGTACCACAGAACGGAAGGAGGAAGGACAACCAGAAGGGAGTCAGGGCAGCCCCATTGCCTTAGCAGAATCTTCTCTGTGCTAACCCAGTAGCCCAGACAAGGCTGGACAACATGTGGTCCTCCCAGTAGCCCAGCTGGAGGCCTTCTCCTTGATAGGTTGGCTTTCTTTGTGCAGGGGAATGTCATAAGAGATGCATTATTCAGTTACGGGAATGGTCTGAAGTGGTACAACCTGGATACATTAGGGCTGGCATTCCCCAGGGAACAAAGGGTCAAGGTGCGGCTGAACTCACTTCATGCCATCCTGCACCGATTCTCTAGCCCTGCCACCAAGCTCTGACTTCTGCCTTTTCTTTTCCAGATTGTGAGCAAGGGCCACATTGCAGAGGGTGAGTGAGGGGGTCTCCACGAGAGGGAGGCTAGGCAGTTGTGGGGCGGGGTGAGGGTCTGTGTGCTGCAGAGTCCAGGTGGTGGGGAACAGGAAAGAGGTCTCCTGGCATGCAGAGGCGCCTGCCAGGCCATTTCAGTTGACAACCTGAAATCCTGGTATTATGAGACTCACAGAATTCAGGATTGGCAGTGCCACTCTTTTTCATAAGTCTCTCTCTCCATTTGAAAGTTCCTTAACTTTTAGTAAGGAAGTGCAGGTATGTCTGTGTGGAACCCACTGAAGTGAAACCGTGTGCCTTGCTTTTGCTACAGCTGCAGGTGGGCCAGAGGTACCTCCTCGCACCCCACCACCTCCTCCTGTCTCCAGCATGGCTGCTGTTTCTTCTGGCCGACGCTCCCCACACCCTAAGTCCCCTGGCGAGTCCCCAAGGGAGCGCAAGGCTCCTACCGAAGACAAGAAGAAACCGGTGAGTGTTGTTGGGGAGATGGGTGAGGTGGCACAAGCCGCTGGGCAGCGGCTGCCACAAGATGGCAGCCACCAGAAGGCATGTTGTTGGTAGCAAGAGGCAAGAAGAAGAGCTTTCTATACTCTGCTAGAAGTGTTTTGGGGGTGTAATGGCTGGGACTGGGCTTGGGACGAGGATGGTGTTTCTGGGCTGCTGAGGCTGGGAGTTTGTGATGAGCCACCGGGTGCAGAGGAACAGTGCATAGTTGCGGAGTGGTTGACCCGGAGTCCTGGCTTCCTACAGAAATCCTTGGGGTACCGGGACTCGAGTTACTACTGGGAGGTGTCCCCCAATGAGGTAACCATGCAGAAGCGCATTGGGGCCGGGTCCTTTGGCACCGTCTTCAAGGGTCGCTGGCACGGAGATGTGGCCATCAAGATTCTCAAGGTCACCAACCCCACCAGCGAGCAAGTGCAGGCCTTCAAGAATGAGATGCAGGTGCTCAGGTAGGACCCAGGGGCCTCCTGGTGTCCAAAGGTGGGGTGCAGTGGCCGTTTGGGGGAAGAGGGGGTTGGATTGCTGGCTGAGATGCCTTTGACGCTTCCGCCACCCCCCACAGGAAAACACGCCATGTGAACATCCTGCTCTTCATGGGCTTCATGACGCGTCCCAGCTTCGCAATTATCACCCAGTGGTGCGAAGGCAACAGCCTCTACCAGCACCTCCATGTGCAGGAGACGCCGCTGGAGATGGTGCAGCGGATCGATGTGGCCCGGCAGACGGCACAGGGCATGGAGTGAGTGCAAATGTGGGGGCTGAGGTGGGCAGCCTCCAGGTGGCTCCCACTGCAGCTCCAGGCCACATCAGGGAGGATGGGAATGAAAGTCCAAAACATCTGGGGGGAATCAGGTTGGGGAAGGCCTCCTGAGGGCATCTGGCTTCCTAGAGCAGGTGATGGGGCCTCGGGATGTGCCGGCCTGCAGTTCCTATCGCCAGTGGTTATGCTGGCAAGGCTGACGGGAGGTACAAGCCAAAACATCTACAGAGCCTTCAGCATCCCACACCTGCCTTGGTGGAGGCCTGTGATAATAGGCTGAGTGTCTCCAAAGACCAGTTGCTGTGAGGGGCTCTCAGCTTGCGGCTGTACTTACAGGCTTCCTGAATGCATTTGGCTGGCCACAGGGGGAACAGGAGACATGACCAGTGGACTCTGCCTTTCCAACAGGGCTTTTCTTTCCTTGTTAAGAGCTGAAGCTACAAAGCAGGGTGGGCGGGGAGGGGGGTTTGAGAGGCTTGGTGGGCCCAGCTCCACCAGTGGCCTCACTAGGCCAGTGTTCTGTTCCCACAGTGGCCCCCAGATTCCCAACAGGGAATCAGGAAGCAGGACATGAGCTCCCACAACTGGTATTCAGTACACAGCCTCTGAAATTTGTCCCAAGCACTGGCAACATTGAGTTTGCACAGCTGGGTAGTGGCTAGGGCCGGGAGCAGAAGATGATGGGAAGACAGGCAAGCAAAGGCAGCTTTCCTGAAGAAAGACATGCCTAGATTAAGGAAACACCACTGTAAAAGGTTGACACTGCCTGACTCCTGGGGGCCTGCCACAAATGCCTGCAGCCACCAGCAGTCCTGATGACGGGCTGGGCCTTGGCCAGCTCCCCCAACCTGGTGCCCTCCAGATATGTCTGACTGCAACTTCCAGAAGTCTGCCTAGGGAACTGTTCCTTGACCTGCAGAGCCACTGGTGTAAGCTCAGCCTCTGGGAGTAGCTTTAGGAAGGTTCAGTGGGACAGTCTGGAGCAGGTTCCAGCCAATGCTCCAAAGGGATTGAAACGAGTGCTGTTGTGGATGTTTTTGTCCCAAGAAAGAGGGTGATTCTAACATTATTTATTTGTACTACTCATAAAATAGCTTTTCTCAAGTGTTTGATAATTTTCAAACATGATCTTAATATGAAGAAAAGCCTGATAAAGCCAAAGGATATAAAACTTAACAAATGTGCCAGAATCAGGCATAAGAAATAAAAACCACATTGCAGGAACTAAAATAATGGGACTAAGAATTTTTAAAATGACATTAAAAACCTTTCATGTCATTTTAAAATATTAAAATAACTTGGAAGATCTGGATTCTGGTTTGCACCCAGTCATGGAGGTCACTGGGTGACTTCGGGCCAGTCACAGAGTCTCAGTCTAACCTACCTTGCAGGTTTGTTGTTGTGAGGATAAAAATGGGAAGAGAACCTTGCAAGCTGCTTTGGGTTCCTTGTAAGTGGAAGGAAAGCGGGATATGAATGTTCTGTAACGATAATAGCAGCCTGGGAGAATACTGAAAAGATGGCAGAGTGAGTGCCAGGCAAGCCTCCCTTGGGAGAAAGGGGGGCCACCACCCCAAAGGCCCCTTCCTTCCTTCCTTCACTGCTGCATTCTGGGCCTCCGAAGGAGTTGCCCATACAAGGGGCTCTGTGGATGCTCTTCAGGCATGGTCAGGGGTATATGAGGGGGATGTTCAATCATGTGCTCAGGGGCTGCCATGTTCAAGCAGCAGCAGACACTTGTGTGGCATGTGAACCACACGTGTGCTGTTCCAGGGCTGCTGAAGACAGAAGGAAAAAGGATGTTTTAAAGGAGGAAGCCTTGGTGCACCTGTCCTCATGGACAGTGCGACATGCTTGGAAATGACCGGTCTTTCTCTCTTTCTACCAGTTACCTTCACGCAAAGAACATTATCCACCGGGACCTCAAATCCAACAGTATCCTTCCCTGTCCCCATACAGGTGGGGAGTTCAGAAAGGTCTTCTTGCCAAGGGAGGCTTGAGTTACTTGGAGTTCTCAGATTAATGAAATAATAATGAAAGGCTGATGAAATAATGATGACAGAGCACAGGGGGTAGGGAAGGTGTAGGCCCAAACCCTCTGGAGGTCTGCCGCTCCCATCTTCCTCCACCATTGGCTGTTCTGGCTAGGGCTGGTGGGAACTGTAGGCCAGAAGATCTGGAAACAGAGCAGAAGGGGAGTTTCTTGTTGCTCGGCCTCCACGTGAGAGAGTGTTCCCAGAATGGCAGAAGTACTGGTAAGGAAAAGTGATTTCTCGGCGTGGAGGTAGGGATAGGATGCATCTTGGGCCCAATGCTTGTGGCTGAACTGAGGGCAGTCACCTCATGCTGAGGCCTATGTATAAGTCCTTCACCCGCTGCCTTCAGATATCTTCCTGCATGAAGGCCTGACGGTGAAAATTGGCGACTTTGGCCTTGCCACAGTGAAGACGCGCTGGAGCGGCTCACAGCAGGTGGAGCAGCCCAGTGGCTCCATACTCTGGATGGTGAGCGTGGCAGGGGGCAAGGCCTGCAAAGGGCTTGTAACTTAGAGGTGGGCTGGGTAGATGTTGAATGGGGGGGGGGATAATAGAGGAGATAAACTGCATGTCTGCTTCCTCCCCCCCCCCCCCCGTGACCAAAACTGAATGCCATTCCTCTTGGCTCCCGCAGGCCCCCGAAGTGATCCGAATGCAGGACCCCAACCCCTACAGCTTCCAGTCTGATGTCTACTCTTACGGAGTTGTTCTCTATGAGCTCCTCTCTGGGACCCTTCCCTACAGTCACATCAACAACCGGGACCAGGTAAGGAAGGGAGGAAGGCCTGGGAACCGGTGGCTTCTTGGGCCCATTGAGAGCTTGCAGGAACAGGTTTTGCAGTGTGCCCGAAATCTTCCCCAACGCTGCTGTCCTGTGAATTGTTCCGTGCAGCCAGCAGGTGGCACCAGAGGGATTTTGCAAAACTGCTCCTGGGCCTCTCCTCTGCTTCCACCACTTTGGGGCATCTACCATGTTTTTCCAGGGGTTCCACTTTCCCCGGAGAGGAGGTGGGAAAAGAGGGACAAAGGCTGTTTATATCCTGGGAGGTTCCTTTGTGCTGCATTTGTTGTAAGGATGCTTCTCCCCTCCTTTCAGATTATATTCATGGTTGGAAGGGGCTACCTGTCCCCTGACCTTAGTAAGGTGGCCAGCAATTGCCCCAAAGCCATGCGCAGGCTGATGGGAGACTGCCTTAAATTCAAGCGCGAGGAGAGGCCCCTCTTCCCTCAGGTGAGTTCCTGGTGATGCAGCATAGTGGCTCTTCTTGGGTCTGCAGATTCTGAAAACCCAGGTGTTGTGTGAGAAAGGACTCTGCTCCTTCCGTCCAGAACATGCTGATGGCAATTTTCATCAGGTGCCCTAGTATTATACAACCAGGAAAAAGACTTCTGCCTATCCACTTTCCCCACCCCATGCCTCATTGGGCATTCTTCTATCCTGCTCTGCCCCCCCTCATGTCCCCTTATGGAGCCAGTGGGGAGTTGAGGGCCTCAGTTCTGCAAGGGACGTATCAGAACTCCCCAGGCAGCATGGACAAGAGGCAATCCACGCATGCACAGATGTGTGACCCTTTTAATCTAGCATTGTGTTTAGCCATTCACCTTGCCCAATCTGGTTGGGCAGATGGGTTGGACTCCATCCACCATCATCCACAGCCAGCCTTGTAGTCTGGTTGCCCATCTAGTAGGCAACAGACTGGAGAAGACATATCCCAGTCATCTGGGAAAACTACCTTATAACTAAAGCTGCATGGAGTCTGTGCAAATAAAAAATAACAATTCAAAATACAGAGTCTAGGACATCCAAATTCTGTAAGAACCAACACTAAATTTTATTAGGTGTGGTATGCATAGATAGATATCAATATTGGTGTAGTATATTAATGTGCCTGATTTTTCCTTCCTTTTAAAATTAATTTTTAGTTCTTTACATCTTAGTTTTTAGTTCTTTACATCCCATGCTGGTAGCCATTGAGAGGGATGAGACATTACACAGCCCCAGGAAACTCCACTCTATTCTTGCCATGCTCTTTGAAAGTGTTATTCAGCAGATCCTCCAGCTTCTGAGACTCTAGCCTAATCTTCAAAATTATAAGGGAAGGTACTGGTTTTAAAACAGAAACAAACTTATACGTGAGTTTCTTAGGAATCAGTTGTGCAACCGGTATCACCACATTCTAACAGCTTCCCCAGAATTATGACATGCATTTCACATACACTCAGGCCATTGCTTGTAACAAGTAAGGAGATTGATTGTTTAAAGTTATAAAGGCAGATCTTGCCACTCAAACCTCCATGCTGTGATCTGAAATCTCTGCCCCTAAAGCCAGAAAGTCAAGGCACTGGCCAAGGATCTTCCAGGGATGAAGTGAGGAACTTGGAGGTGTTTAGGGCAGCCCTCTCCAACCTGGCATTCTCCAGGTGCCTTGGACTATAACTCCCAGCATTCCTAACCACTGGCTGGCTATAATGGGTGTTATAGTTCCCATGTTCCTGGTGAGCACCAAGTTGAGGAAGGCTGATGGAATAGGATAGGGTTCTGGCCTAACACCACCTTTTCTCTTCTTCCAGATTTTAGCTTCCATTGAGTCACTCCAGCATTCTTTGCCCAAGATTGAGCGCAGCGCTTCAGAGCCTGCACTCCACCGGGTGGCCCACAATGAAGAACTGACCTTCTTCGCTCTTCCACCTGCCCTGTGGCTCCGCAGCTAACATGGCCCCAGAGGAACTGCTCCCAAAGGCCATCTGCCCCCTTGAGACCAGTGCCTGCTGCTCTCGGGGTTTCCTGCAGTGTGGAGATGGAAGGACCAGTCAGTCTGAGGAGGGCAGCCAGAGGCCCCCAATCTTCTCTATGCACAGAGGGAGACACTTAAGCACTGCAGGGGGTCTTCCATGTGAAGCATCTCCAGCTCTCACCCTCCTGTCCCATCAAGATCGCCAAAGTAGCAAACACACTGGAATGTCTCCATGCTTGGGCGACTCTGGCTCCATCTTCCCCAACTCTATTTTTTTAATGGGTCTCATCCTGTTTCAGGGTTGTTTTATTTTTGTGGGGGTTGGAAAGTTGACTAGGAGAGGGGTACAAATAAAAATGTCAAAACTGAACCCCAAACCATGATCCAGTCTGTGGATTTGGCAGGCATCGCTATGCCATGGAGACAAGATAGAGATATTGCAGGAGGGGGCGTGATGAATCAGAGGCCAAGCCCTGTCTGGTTCATTCATGTGTTACTCCATCCATACCTGAGACGGTTCCCCAGCAGTCTTGTTCATGGTGCAAAGAAAGGGCATTTTCCTCAAACTCAAGGATTCTGCTAGTGGCCGACTACACTGTGGAAGGTGGGACTGGGGACCTTCCAGGTGTCTGATGAGCAGAGCTTCCTCAGTTCCCTACATATGCCTGCTGCCAAGCTCTAGTTTGCATCTGTGCATATACCTGTCCATTGCATTTACAAGGAGCTAAAATGCTGGATCTTCAATAGTTGTTTGTGGCCGGCCAGCCCTAGAAGCCTCCTTGCATCTCTTTCCAGGTATGTGCACAGCTAGGGCTGTGCTCCATGGCAAAGCCCTGGTGCCAGAGCTTCACAACGTTCAGCGGTCATCCTCTGTGCCTCTGGCTTTCAAATGCAGTGCCTTAAATGGCATCAGACAATCTAGGGAAAGGGTACGTATTTCTGAAGGGGCAAGCTTTTTTCCTCACCTGCAAAGCACAGAGGCGGTCCCAAGTGGCAGACCATGGGTTGCATTAAAGCAATGTTCTCCAACCTGTATCCCTGACCATGTTTTGGAGCACAACTTCCATCAGAACCAGTCAACATGGCCAGTAGCTGGGGATGATGAGAGGTTGTGCTCCAAAATACCTTGAGACCCAGGTTGGGGCAAACTGTATTAAAGGGAGGCAACCTGCCCAAATTCTCTGACTAAACTGACTCCATCAAACCAGGGAAGGTATGGAGTATGAGTGCAGATGGTTGTTCAGGTCTGTAAGCCCACATTATTTCCTTCCAGGCCTGCTACATACAACTGCTTTTGATCCTTGGTGTGCAGAGAGCAGGAAGTGCTTGGGCATGCCACAGAGGCATGACAAATGTCTAAAACAGGGTGAAGAGGTGCTCTTGCCTTTGCTCCCCAGGGAAGGAGCAGTTTGCAGGGGAATGTAAGAAGAGCTGCGGTGCTTCAGCCCAAGGAACCCTAATCCAGCATTCTGTTCCTTCAGTGGCTTACCAGATGCCTGCAGGAAATGTAGAAGCAGGACATGAGGGCCATCGCAGTACGCTCGCTTGTGTTTCCCAGCAGCCAGAATAGAAGCATAATGCCTCCAATCCTGGAGGTAGCTTATAGCCACTAAGACTGGTGGATCCATTTATTCCACTCGTCATTTAAAGCCATCCAAATTAGTGTCCACCACCACTTCTCATACAAGCATATTCCATAGCTTAAATAAACACTGTTTACTTCTCTCACCACTGGGATGCACTAGATGATGCCGTTGAGTTGTACTATTATGAGAGGGGAAAATTCCACCTAGTCTGCTTTCTCCACACCACACACATAGCTATGCATGTCTATCCTCCCTCTGTGGAATTCACCTTTTTCACAGCAACCATCCATTGGTTCTGCATTTTCATCAAGCTGTCTACTACAATGCCAAAGCCCCTTTCCGATCAAGCAGGTTGGCCCCCATCAGTGCCTGTGCAAAATCAAGATTTTCACCCACAATGCATGCAGCAGCTTTTACTAGTTTACATTGAAACACACCCGCCATTTTAACGCCCATTCTGCCAGCCTGGAGATATCCTTTTAGAGTGCTTCACAATCCTTTTGTTTTAACCATGCTACATAATTTGGGGTAATCAGTGAACTTGGCCATCTCACAGTTCACCCCAAATCCACATTATGAACTAGTTAAAAAGCATCAGTTTTGATTCAGATCCTTAGGAGGGCCCCACTCTTTAAATCCTTCTAGTGTGGAAACTGTCCATTATATTCCTACTCTGTGCTTTATGTTCTTTAACCAATCAATCCGATGACCTCTCTAATTACCTCATAATGGACAGGTTTGTTTGAAAGACTTTGGCCAGGAATTTTATTAAAAACTTTTTGAAAGTCTAAATACGCAAGTGTCTGGTCAATCACCTCATCCACATGCTTGTTGATAAACATTTAATGAGACAGAATGTACCTTTGCAGATGATTCATCTTCAGCAAGTCTTAGCTTCCCACAGTGCCTGACAAAAATATTCACTACTACCTCCCCTTTGATTTTTCCATGGTCTGTTGTGCCACAACCTGGAAGTGAAATGGGTTTAATTGGCATTGTTACCATTTCATGGATACAAGCTCCTTAGCACTGTGAAGTTGCAGAAGTTTTTTTTATTATGGCACTTGGTAGAAGCACCATTGGCAGTAGTTACAGCTGCAAGTCTTTTGGGGAATTTCTCAATCAGCTTTGCCCATTTGCACCTGTCAGTGTTTGCCCATTCTTGGAAAAAGTATTCCAGCTTTGATAGGTTGGAGAGGGATCCATAGTCAACAGCAATTTACCACAATTTACCCACCAGATTGAGACTGGCCGCCTTTGACTGAGCTATTCAAATACATTCAAGGTTCTTGCTTTTAAATCACTCTGGAATTAGTCTGTGTGGTCACTGTCATATTCTTGCTGGAAGGTGAAAGACTGCTGTAGTCCCAGATCTCTTGGAATCCGAAACAGGTGGTTCTTCTAGGATTGCCCTGTAAATGCCTGAATTCATTTTGCCCTCAGACCAGTTTCTCAATCCCTGTCAAAACCATCCATAAGCATGCTTTGCAAAGTGAATGCTCTCAGGGCAACGAGCACTGTTGGCTTTGCACCACACATAGCATTTTGCAGCAAAGCCAGAAAGTTCACTTTTGGTCTCCTTGGACTAGGGAACCTTTTCTTACATGTCTGCAGTTTCTCCTACATGCCTTTTTGCAACTTTGAATGAGCACTGATACTGGTTAGTTTCAGCCATGGCTTGCTTCTTGCCAGTCTTTCATAAAGCCCAGTTTCATAGAGTGTCTAGGTCAGGGGTCGGCAACCTTTAACACTCAAAGAGCCATTTGGACCCGTTTCCCACACAAAAGAAAACACCGGGAGCCGCAAAACTCTTTTGACATCTAAAATGAAGATAACACTACATATATCATTTTTTAACTTAATGCTATGGATATCTTCATTATAATTTAGCTGCAGCTCTTGTTCATTCACTAAAAACTGTTATTTTTAATCTTACATTATAAACTAGTAGAACTCCTTTCATATATTTTGAATAGAACAGCTTCCTGAAGAGTCAAAGTCAATGCTAAAAGGCTGCATGCATTAAACAGCAAACCCCATAAGTTCATCAGCAGTAAAAGCAAATGAATCTACCTACGTATCATTAAACATTTGGTTTTCTTCGGAAACTTTTCTTCTATTTATCCATGGTTGGCCTACCGGGGGGGGGGGGGGGGGCTCAGCCTATGGTGGGGAGGGAGCTCAGTAAATTGGCCCAGGTTTGGGTGAGTCCGCAGATTCGCAGCTGTGCCAGAGATACAGGTGTGTTTAGTGACTGATTAGCAGATAAACAGTCAAGTGATGTGAATTGTGACAGGTCCCAAACTCAGCTTTTAACATTCAGATGAAGGAGATTACATTGGGACAAAGAGAATCCTTTCAGCAGCCTTTAGTGTAACAGGAGAGCCTGCAGGAAGCTTGTTTAGCAGAGGAAGGTAGCGATTTACTTAACTAGTTAGCCTAGTTAGCGCTGCTGTGTTCCTGAGTGGAGCTTCGAGCAGATCAGCGGCTGTGCCGGCGTGTGTTTTGAGTGACGGAGCCGCAGTAGAGGGGTTCAAGAGCCATGTGCGGCTCTGGAGCCACGGGTTACTGACCCCTGGTCTCGGTGATACTTGTCCCATGGATGGTTTCTCCCATTTCAGCTGTGGACTTCTCCAGCCCCTTCACTGTTATCATTCACCTCTTGAATGCTTCTGTGCCTCAGGCCTGCCTTACAGGGGCACCATGATTTGGTGGATGCCCTCTCTAAGCAGAACTTCAGTTGAGCCATGTTCTTTCCATTTTGCAATAATTAATTTAATTGTGCTTTATGGGATGTTCATACTGGTGGTGGTGGCTATTTTTTAATAGCTCACCCCTAATTGGCATATCTGCATAACATTTTCCTGGACATTTGACAAATCCTTGGCCTTCATGATGCTGTTTTGTACAGCCTTGTCCTCAGATTCTGAGGCCTTCCTGAAACAGATAGCTTTAAGTGGAGATTTTGCAGCAATGGACTTCCGCACCTGTACACTCCAGTCACCTACTCACATTATATGACTTCTGGAGACAGTGGGTTGCTCTACAGCTTAGGCATGTTGCAGCAAAGGAAATTAATGCTTATGCAACCAACAACTGCCAGTTTGTTTTTGTTTATTTAACCATTGCACCAAAATAAAAAATATTTAAATATTTGCACCTTCATAGTGTTGAGTATCTTGTGAAGTTCAATTGGTATCAATGTCAATTCAAACCATTTCAATCCAGGCTGTAATATGGCAAGATGGGGAAAAGTTAAAGACTGGTGAATCCCTGTACAATGAAATGTATTGCTTGATAACTTGATATTTATGTTTTCTACCGATTCACAAAGCAGATGTAAAGCTTATTGGCCTGTAATTTCCTGGATTCTCCCAGCTGAGAGGCCTCTTAGCATAGAAAGGCCTATATATGGCAGTACCCCTCCAAATGTCTCTGTGGTTTCAGCTATGATACTTCGGTTTCTCTTGGACTAGGTATTATGTTCCATGGCTTGTTCATTGCATAATTCTACCTAGTCAGTGGTTAGATGATCATAAACATTTTTATCCTCATACCAACGATTACTTCCAAATCAGATGCTCCAAATCCAAACTTCTCCTGATATCACTATCTCATCCATGCAAAACTGCTCCTCAAAATCATTTTTTAACTATCTTGACAGACCATCTTGCAGTCATGTGGAAAATTATTAGACTTTTTTTAAACCAAGCGACTATACTCCTTTCCACTGCAGGTACCAAAACAACTTGGAACGTTCTTGGAAATAGGGCATAACCCATAATTTCAGAGGTCCTTCCCCCTTTGTCTTGCACCTCCAATAACACACAAACTCACTTTTTTCTCTCCATTTTTCCAGTTTAATATCTTAGTACATATATGTCTATATCTATATATCTGCATATATATATATATATCTCTTTCTCTATTAATTTTGTTCCAGCCGCATACCATGTGCATTTTTCCAGCAGGTTTTGTAGGGTCTCTCTCTCTCTCTCTCTCTCTCTCTCTCTCTCTCTCTCTCTCTCTCTATTCCACTGATCCATTGAAACTTTAATCCACACAGAGACAGAATCACAGCAATAGGAAAGGCCTCTATTCCCACGTGATAAATGTGGGAGGGGAGTGCACTTTCCAGGCAACAATAATTAACAAAGATTAACTTGAAAACACTCTCCCCAGATCCCTCTGTGGGTGGAAGGAGCATCTTTCTGGGGAGGAGAGGTTGCAGAAGGGAAAGGGGGATATACTGCACAGGGCTGCAGCCCTTGTGTTATCCCCCTGCCACAACCCAACATGTTGCAAACACAGCTCAGAGCATCATGTCACAACACAGCTACGACACGTAACTTTGCAGCTACCAGACCATCACGCATTGTGTGGCGTTTCACCCCCGTCCCAATGGTTTTTCAAGGAAGAGGGACAGGGGTAGGCGACACAGCTTTAGGGATAAGGGGAGATCACAAAAATATAGTGGGAGGTTTCTCTCTTGAGTTATATACAGAGGGGAGTGGAAGGAGGAATCAAGCTCTGGGATGTGAACATGAATCCCCTAAATGTCCATGAGGGTAGGGGTGGCTTTCCACCCACCGATCAAGATGGTAGAAGCATCCCTTGGCTACAGTGGCAGTAGTATGGCTGTTATCTGAGAAGATGGGATTCATGAGTGGGCTGAGGACTAGCTTTGGTTGGCATAGAAGGGAGCATGGAGTTGATAAAACACTTCCATAGTTGGCCCTCCATCCAAAGGGCAGTACCAAATTGGAGGGGAAGGACACATCAACTAGCTTATCGCTCAAGAGAAAGGAAGTGTCATTTGCCCTGTCCCTTGTACCTTCTTGGCAGTCAGTGAAGACAGAAAGACACTGCCATTGTGTTTATGGGAAGGACATGCCAGGAAGGTTCTGGAATATCAGGTAATAGTGAAAAGCAGAGGTGAGGCAGGGTGAACAGGATGCATACCAGAATTAAGGCGTGCCAAGTATATCATTACCAAGAGTTGCTGGGAGGCAGGAATTGGAATTACCAATTGCTAAGACAATGGTGGAAAAGGCAGAGCCTGTAGCCAAGGCAAAGGCAATGGTTGTTGTGAGTGGACAGCTACCAAGCAGGAAATGAATGATAGCAAGGAGGGCAAGTGGCAATTGATTGGCTTATTCACAAACAGTGACACAGACACCTTGTGGCTACAAACACAGACATGGCCCCAGGAGGGGGTCCCCTCCCTCGTGCTATGTACAGAGACCCCAAGAGACCCCTCTCCCTTCCCTTTTCCCCAGCCCTGGGGACCCCCAGCATTAGGGAGAAGAGAGCTGGGAACAAAGTTTGCATATTCATGTAGAACAAATGTGAACTTGAGAAATCTGCAGCCTCAGATTCAGGGAGGAGGACTCTGATGAAAGGAGAGAAGGGAAGCTCTCTGCTAATTTGTATGTTTGTGGGATGGGGGAAGGGGTTCATTAATTTAAGGGTGCAGGGAGGTCCTAAAGAAATAAATACAAAAACATAGGGAGAAACCGTTGCATGAAACACAGAGCAGAAGAGGGAGCTAGGACAAAAGGTTTTGAGGGACAGGGAAGCTTTAATGGAAATATAAGAGAAAACGGGTCAGGGCTCCTCTGCAGGAACAAGTCCCAACATACGGTGGCATTCTTGAAATGGGCAGGAAAAAGTATTTCAGAAGCCAGCCTTGCACAGGTCTGTGATTAAAACAAAACAAAATGAAAAAAACTTTCACATTCAGAAGTATTAGCACTGGGGACCTGACACCTGCCACACTTCTAGCCCTGATGGTTCCAAGCAGGTGCAGGTGTTTTCAGTAGGATCTTAAGGGGCCCCTAATGATTTTCCCCCTAACCAGCAGTACCACTGGCTGAGGGGTCATCAAACTCTGGGAAACAGCTCATCACAAACTTTAGAAAGGTCCATCCTTTGTGATACAGATGCAGAATTTTGGGTGTACCGTAGCAGTATGGGTTACAGGGGAGAAGAGTTCCAGTAGACATAGAGGGTGTAGGCTGGGGGTGGTCAAGGGTCGCAGAGTGTAGGGGGAAGTCTCTCAGTCGGAGAAGAGGCTGGCGAAGCTCTGTCGGAGGCTGCGGATGCTCTCAGCACGCACTTCGTCCTGACTAAGGCTGCCCCGTGGCACCGGCGCCTCTGCAAGGGGGAAGGTATTGGTCAGAGATTGGGATTTGCTAAGGAGCAGCAAGAGAGGGATGTGGGGCAGGAAAGAGGGGAGGGGCAGGGAGGTGAAGAGGAGAGGAGAGATGAGAAACACACTATTAATTTCAGGTCAGGCAAGAGAGCTTGCTTCTTCAGTAACTCCAGGAGGGGGAAAAAGGGATGGAATGGGGGAGTTGAAATTGGGAAGCACTGCCCCTTTCCCAGGAGAGTGGGAGGAAGCAAGCACGGAACAGTGAAGGGGCAAGACAAGCAAGGGTTGAAAACATGGTCTCCCCTTCCCCCAGTCTTCTCACCAAGAGCTGTAAAGGGCAACCTGTCCATTAGGGGGCAGCACAGTGAAGGGAATTGTCCTGCAGCAGGACATGATTAAACAGCTGAAAGTATTTGGAGAGGGAAATTCTCAGGCCTGTTCTTCTAATTAACATTTAATTATTCTTCAGTTATTTTCAGCACTAATGGATCCTCAGTTGGGTTGAGGTAAGCAATCCTTTTTGGTAAGTTGATGGATACTTTCAATATGATGGGGTGGGATGGACCTATGGGCCCCCACATTTCCAGATTCCCAAATGCTCATCTGCCTCACACCTGTTTGCTATCCCTCCTAGCAGGTGCTTATCCTTTTTGAAACAAACAAACAAACTTCATCCTTAGAGATCCCAGATAATTTGGGATCATACAACCAGCCTGATGGTGTCCATATGCCAAACAATCTATCAGCTTTAGCTACCGTGAAATCAGAAAGCCAGTTCATAGTGAGAGTTCTTGCCTTCACTCTGACTCTGCAAAAGTCACATGTCTGTTCACAGAACCCTGAAAAATCATCTATGGGGGTCATGTTTCACAGACAGCCCAGGTGTTTCTGAAATGCACCCATCAAACCTGATTTTAACTTAATCCTAATGCTAACAGTGGAACACCAGGCTTTATCAGAAAGATTTAAGCTACACCTTTGAATATTTAAAATTATCCATCAAGGTAGGTTTTCAAAAGCAAAACCTGAAAGGACGCATTTTGAACATGTGAAGAAAGCGCTCCTTGTTCTACCAGCTTTGTCTGTGGGCTGCCTTCCTTCTTAGGGCCAGTCCTACTGTTCAGTAAGGAGTAACAGTTGCTTTGGGCAGTTTTGGGATGTTACTCAGCCTGCCATGCAACCATGATGCTATCTTGCCATCTTTGCAGTGGTGGAAGGAGATGCCCCATTCATTGCCAGTGTTGAACTAGGATTCCACTATCACTTTTCTCAACTTTGTTATTTGGAAGTTGAGGAGGAGAGCTGCCATATTTTCCTCCTCCTCCAGCAGCAAAATGGCTCAAGCCAGCTCTGAGTTTTCCTCTCTGTAGAGGAACATGCATGTGTGCAAAAACTAGCACCTCTGTTTTGTTTAAAGAGTGGTTGGGTTTTGTCTCTTTTTTAAGTTCTAATTCTCTTGCCCTCATGAGTGTAAACAACAGCTTGGGGAAAAAAGCAGGCCGGGAGTGATGTAGGCTAAACAATTAAAGAGCAGCTGTGAAGGGTTTCCTGTGGACAAGTGAGCTTTAATTCCCTGCCCCACTCTCATCTCTGTGCCCCCTCCCTTCTGCTACCACAGTTCTGAACCAGTCATTCAAAATTCCTTGAAACCTTAGCATTAGCTGAAACTGCACAAAAATAACTATGAAACTGCTAGGCATTCATCTTGAATGAAAGCGAAGTTTTATGGGCATATGGGTAGAAGCAAGTGAAGCACTCCTTAGGCACTAACATGAAAACCAGCATTATGCCAGCCTACAAAAAGCACTTCCCTAAGGTGGGGATAGAATCCAGGAGCTATGATGCATTCTCCAGACCCAAGAGCCCAGAGAGCCTTTTGGGGGGGGGGGTGGCTAATGGACAGTATAGAAATCAATCAATCAGTCAATCAATCAAATAAAAATGCTTACTTCAGCTGGGGCTGGGGTGGAGGCAGGTCCTGACTGGGCTTCTGGGCCACTTGTGGTTTTCCTTGGCTTGGTGGAGGGCGGCTTCCTTGTTGCCCTGGGCCACCAGGGCCCTGCCCCTGAGTACTAGGCCTTGGCTGCTGGGTTGTGGGTGGTGCTGGGCGCTGCTGCTGCACTCCTGCCCCCGGGGGGCGCTGCTGGGGTGCTCCCCCCTGGCTGCCCTGCCGTGGATGCTGCCGTGGCTGACTTCCTGTGGCTGGAGGACGCTGCTGCTGTGGCTGCTGTGGCTGCTGCTGCCCTGGTGGGCCCCCAGAGGCTACCTTGGGGGGCCCTGCTCCGGCAGGCCGCTGCTGCTGAGGGGACCCTTGCTGCCACGGCTGCTGTCCACCACCACTAGGGCTAGGGCCTCTCTGGGGCTGTGGGGACTGTGGAGCAGACTGCGGTCCCTGCTGGCGGGACTGATGGGTTCCTGGCCCCGGCTGGCGTTGCCCTCCTGGACGCTGCTGTGCCTGCAGAGGTGGTTGCTGGGTGGTGGGGCTTGGCAGACGCTGACCCGCTTGTGGACCACCTGGCTGTGGAGAGAGCCCCGAAAGCTGCTGACCTTGAGGAGGGGGGCGCTGTTGAGATGGGGGGCGCTGGGAGCCTGGGGGTGGCTGCTGCGGACCTCCTGGCAGACAGACAAAGTAATTTGTGAGGGCTGATGGAAATTATATCACTCATGGTCCACTGCTGGGTCCATGTGTTCCCCACAGCCAAGTTTCTTTCTTAAAAGGCCCTCCCCTGGTCTAAGTTCCTTCTTCCAAAAAGATACTCTGATTAAGCCTCTGGTCTCAATCACAAGTCCCTGTTTTCGCTGAGTCAATCTGTTTCAGCTCCTTTCCCCCATCCAGAGATTTGACCCACTTCCTTCCCACGGGCTTGACCCACTCCATCTGCAACTTACCCTGGGGTGGTGGCCTCTGCTGGGCAGGAGGGCCCTGTCGCTGTCCAGCTGGAGTGGACTGCACCTGAGGGCAAAACACACACCACACAACAGAAAGATCAGTGGGGTGAGGAGTGTCAAAAATTCTTTTCTCCACTCCTCATTATACCCCAACATAAGGAACCAAATGGAATGCATGCCAGACCAAAGAAAGTCCTCTGAAAGTCACAAAACATGTCATTACTGCCAGGAATTCTCCATCATCAGAGGATGCTGCAACAGCAGTTTGGTTTAGCTGGCCTCAAATACAGGGAGATTCAGGACCGAAAAAGGACTTTGCACAAGACTTGGTTAAGCTATGGAATTTGCTGATGGCCACCAACTTAGATGGACTTCAAAAAGGATCTGGACAAAGTCCTGAAGGATAAGGTTACCTACAGCTTCTAATTCTGACAGTGATATGCCACCTCCTACATCAGAGGCAGTTTCTCAGGAACAACAGTGGAAGAGGGCTGTTATGCTCATGTCCTTTTGTGGGCTTCTCAGAGGCTTCTGGCTGGTGGTCATGGCGAGAAACACAATGTTGGACTAGGTAGGTCTCAATTGGATTCAGCAGGGCAGTTGTTATGTTGCCTATGATTGGCAGGGGGCCTTCAGGATTTCTCTAGCTGAGTTGCTCCATATCTCTGTGACCAAACAACCTTTAACTAGAGGTACTGGAGAATCACCCTGGCAAGGCATACAGTGGTCCACAGGGCTACAGCCCCTCCCTCAACATCTCCACCCTCTCCTTGTGCCTACAGCTGTTCTTCAGCTTTTCATAAGCCATCAACACCCACAATTGTGACTACAGGGTTAAAAGGCATGTTTCCAGAGGCTCACAGTAGAAATGGCAGGATGATACCTGGGCATGCTGTCCTGAGGCAGAGCACACTGGCGAGGGTGCTGGTGTGCGAGGGATGGCCTGAGCCATGCGAATCAACACCAGCTCCACAATCAGGTGCTTGTCTTCATCCTGGTGGTCTCCAATCAGAGGCATGGATGATCCCACTACCTAGGGAAAAGAGGAAAAGAGTAGGAGTGGTGAGCCCATTTCATAAAATCAGACTGAGTATGTGACATGTCCTGAGGGCTTAAGTGAGAAAGCAGAGCATGCTGGTTAATATTTTTAATGAACACACACACAGAGTGGAAATTTTGAACTGCGAAAACCATGCTTGAGATGATGATGAGGATCAGCAACTAAGAAATACAAGATGTGGTGGATTAAAAAGAACTAGTGGAACATACGAGAAGCCAAGATGCTGTGCTGAGAAAGAAGAAGCCATAGTTCAAAGCTCACCTCTGCCATGACCTCTCTAGGTAGCTTTGGCACTCTGGCTCCCTGCCCCCCAAATTGGCAACATGACGATAATAGCAGGTGATCAACATCACACACTATTTATTGAAAGGATTACTGAGAAAATATGCTTGCTTTGTGTATAAACGCTAAGCAGTAGTATTAACAAAACCACATGGGGCAAAGTGTGGTGACTCAGAAATGCACTCTGCCCCACAATGCCAGGAAGTAGTTGGAAGTAAGCCAGTTTTGTTCTACTGACTTTAACGGGAATATTTATTTTATTTTATTTAAAACTTTTATATGCCGTCCCTTATGCATGGCATCTCAGGACAGCTTACAATCACCAGCCCACTCACACCCTTTCCTGCATCTTGTTCTTCAGAAGTGGACAGCCAGATGTGCATCTGCAGCTATAGGAAAATGCCATATTGGCCAATCATACATTCAAATAAGTTCTGTGTAGGGAAAAACCCTAAGAAGCAATTCTGATTCAGCTTCCCAAGAGCTGTCCTACTCTGTCCTGGTTCAACTTCCAGGAGATATACAGCTGCAGTTTTGACATGAGTCAGAACTATCCTGAGACCAATTCAGCACGACAAAACATTAAACTCCAGAATCAAGTGGGCTGCCATCTTTAATAGGTTTAAATCAATGGATTAAATGATCAAAGCTTTCATTGGGTAGGGCTCCATTCTAATCTGTGAGGATATATTTTATTATTACTGCAATTGCATACAAAGAGCAACTTTATCTATAGCAAGCTCTTGCGATTCCAGTGTTTCTGTAACAGGGAAATGGGAAGATGTTACAGATGGTCTTTTGTTCTAACAATGAATGTTATCAAATGGTAAGTTATTCATATTGCACATCTCATGCAATTTTTGATTATATTTGCATCTCAGCTTTTCTGCAAGGAATTTAGGGCAAAGTGCATGAAGCTACCCCACTATCCTCATAACAACCCTGTGAAGAAGGCTAGGCTGAGAGAAAGTAGCAGGTCTAAAGCCATTCAATGAGCTTCACAGCTGAACAGTGTTTTGAAGTCTCTCTCTACAGTCTCTCTCTACACCACCCCTGCACTCTGAAAACACACCCATACCAAGTTTTTGAAATCTATTTATGTCCATTAACCAGGCAGGTTCAAAAGTAAATAAAGCTTTAAAAATGCCATCATACTCAACAGACTTAGTTAGACAAAGAACTTGAGAACTGGTCCTTAAAACAAATTTTCTAACCTTCCCTTCCCCCAAGGGGCCTACAAAGTTTTGATTTTCCTGATATTTAGCTTGCAGAAGTGAGAATCATGGACATGCACACAAAAGCACCCCATAACCAGTGCCTCACCTCAATGATGTGGTCACGTCCATCCTTGCCATGCAGAGCTTCCACTGCACAGATGTCCAAGCCACCAAAGATTTCTGAACAAGTGTCCACCCACAGCTTGTACCTACCAGGAAAGGTGGGGATGCGGAGAGAATAAGGTAGCAATGATGACTGACACATCATAGGGAATCCTTTCCATTAGTTCCACCAACTCAGAGTTTTAGCCAAAAGAAGAAAAGGAAGAGTCCCTAAGACAGGGGCTCTCTCCTAATCTAGCCCTCTGGATATAATCCACCCTGCCACCCTTCTAATCATTTCCACCTTCCCTTACCACTCACCTATCTGACATGGCTATTTGTTCCAGCATGGCAGATCCGGTGTTTGTTTTCCAGTTCCCCGAAACAGAGGTTCTCCTGTCAGGGGAGATGGAGCACTTTAAGTATTTTGCAAGTTCTAGAAAGAGACCAGGTGGGAGGTTATTCCTTGCAGAAGGTAGCTTAGAACACCAAAGAAAGGGTTTCTTTGCTGCTAAAAGTTTGAAGGGGGCTCAGTAGAAGAAAATAAACCAATGGGACTTGGAAGCATAATGTTGTGCAAATGAAGTACAATGTTGTAGGCAACAGTGATGCTGTCAGGAGGACTGATCCAAACCAGCCAGAATATCCAACGATCCAAAGCAATATGGGCAGCAGGACTCAGTTTTGCCTTAGGTGGGAATTTTTTAAAAGGGGAAATTCTAAAGGCACAGTGACAGACAATTCCAACAAGGAAAGCGGGTAAAAGATAACAGAAGTCCATGTGGCTTCACAAAAAGCTTAGAGATGATCTGAAAAAAGGACATGTTGAGGAAGCAGAAGGAAAGCCAGGCTACAAAGGAAGAATAAAGGCAGGCAGCATGGCAGTGCAGGGATGGCATCAGAAAGGCTAAAGTTAAGAATGAATTAAGGCTAGCAAGGGATGCTAAAAGCAACAAAAAAATAACCCTTCAGATATGTTCAAAGTAAAAGACAGAAGAAAGAAATGGAGGATCAACTACTCAATGTGGATGGCAAAATGATAACTGATGACAGAGAAAAGGCAGACATGCTCAGTTCCCACTTTGATTCAGTCTTTGTGATGAAAGGAAAGTACAAACTGAAGGAGCAGGATGGAAGCTCAGGATGGATAGACAAATGGTCAAGGATCATCTGATTGGGCTGAATGAGTTCAAATCTCCATCCAAGAGTCATAAAGGAGCTGGCAGAATTCTCAGAACCACGGTCTATTACCCATGAAAATTCATGGAGGACAGGGGAAGTGCCAATGGAGAAGGGCCAATGTGCCTATGTTCGAGAAAGGAAAAGAAGAACCTGGGAACTACAGATCAGTCAGTCTGACATCAATCCCTGGGAAAATTCTGGAGCAGAATATAAAGCAGTCAGTCTGCAAATACCTTAAAAACAATGCTGTGATTACTAGAAGACAACATGAGACCGGGACTCAAGAACAAATCCTGCCAGCCTAATCTGATTCCATTTTTTTTAAATTGGGACTGGGACTCAGATGAGCTGGGTTCTAATCCCCACTCAGCTATGGAGCTCACTGGATGAATTTGGCCTGTCACAGACTCTCAGCCCAAACTAGGGTTGTTGTGAGGATAAGATTGAGAGGAGGAGGAGAATTATGTAAGCCACCTTGTATTCCTTGGAAGGAAAAAAGGCAGGGTATAAATATAATAAACAAATAAATACATGCATGCATGCATAACGTGCCAGAAATATGGAATACAAGCATTGCAGAAAATGGGGAGGGGCGAATACCTAAGTCCTGAATAATAAACCTCTTAAGGTTGAACAATTAAAAAGGATTATTGTGAACAACAATAAAGGAAAAAAGGAGAAAAACTGCCACCTAATTTGCTGACCCTCCTCTTGAACATTTAACAACAAACAATATGGAAAGTGGGCAGGCAAACATTCTCCTAGCACTGAGATGAAGTGAAGGGAAAAGCTTCATCTGTTCAGTTTAAGTAAGTCAGCATGTTAAGGGCATAGTGACTGACCCTATAAAAATGGTGGCAATGCTTGTGCAGCATCTTGCACAAAGAGCCGAGTTTAAGACAGAGCTAAGAATAGATTCTCAAACTTTGGAAAAGTATGAGGGACTCAAGCTTGACTTCTGTGAGAAGATGCTTTTGTCTGCACAGAATCAATCAGATGTGGCTTCTAAAAATAATAGTCTCCATCCCTCATTGCCAAATGTCTAGACAGCCATAGTGCAAAAAAGTAGGAAAGCAGGAGTCTTTCTTGGGGCGTCTTAAAGATGACCAAAAGGTGCCATAGTGACATTTAAAATACATTAAGACTGATTATGAACTTGTTCTATGCAAAGGCCTTCAGTCTGAATGTTGCAAATATTTAAATACCAAAAAGTGTCACCACTGAGGCTTAGAAATAGGGAAAGAAACATTTTAAATGTGAATAAATGCACCTGAAATCATACTCAGGTGAGACTAGACCATGCCTAGTCTAACTTTCTAGAAACAGATGCTAAAATTTTCACCAGGAACAACAAAGCTGCATGGCATTGGAAGTTGGAAAGGGTCATTTTGCTGTAGAGAGAAGAAAAAGTGGGGAAGAGATGGATTCAGGATGGGAAGGGCTTGTGCTTCAAAGAGGGTGCCATGAAGCTTCAAATAAGAGGCTGAATGCCACAGGGTAAAGAACAAGGAGTTCCCCAGGGGTCACTGCCTCACACTCACATGTAGGCTTTGTAGTTGTTGCCAATCTTCTGGATACGGACATCGTATTTAGCATCAATAAAGGGCTCTGAAGTGGCATAAGTTTTGGTGAGGGCCACCACACTGGCAATGTCCTGGAAATCATACTGGTTCTCTACCTTGACCTGCAAGCAAACACAGAAGAACTTTCCCTTCTATTGTGCCCAGTGCAAACAAAAGTTGCTGCTCTCTTACTCTCTCTCTGCATCATGGGATGGGAAAACTCTCATTGCAGCTGTAACTGCAAGACAGAGAAAGAAGGCTGATCCTGGGGGAAGAGTAAAGGAAAACTTATTTCCTCAAATGCACACCCTCCTACCAACCTGGGAAAGAGAATGGATGGAGAATTCAGAGGCAAACTTCCCATTTGAGGTGCTTAAATTCTAGGGACACATGCTTCAGATATGCTAAACCTTGGGCAGATAGATTGAGAAAGAGAGAGAGAAAGCTCAGATGCCTGCACTTTGGGAAAGAGGGAGCTTAGCAGCTCTGTTGTCAGGGTGATAACCTTTTCATCCCAAGTAGGGCCAGCTCAACCCAGTAGGCAGTGTGGGCAGCTGCCTGGGCCATTAGAACTCAAGAAGTGCTGAGATGGACAAAATGTGGATGAGGGGCAAACTAATTTATCCACAACAGCAAAAATCTTGCTCTTTGTCCAAATCAGTCAACATCGTGGAGGAGGGCAGGATGGATTCTTCACTGTGCTCTACTGTAGAGGGAGGTATTTGCTCAGTTTGTTTTACCACTCACCTTGCCCATTCCAGAGTGAGCATGTCCCATCTTCACCACCACAGGGTACTTGGAGGTTGTGAGCTGAAACAGAATGAGAAAGAGGAGTCAGGGAAGGGCAGACAATTTCTGGGATTAGTTATACAGTCATGTTCTGCTGCAGGAGTTATCACTGTTCAATGCCATTATATGAAACTGCACATTCACACAAAACAAGGAACAGTGTTGGAGAAGATGGTGCCTCCTTTGTTCTTACAAATACAGGGTTAAAGAGAAAACTTGTGTGTCTGTGGATGTAAGAGAACTGCTCCTAGATAACAGAGAACAAGAAGGAACAAGGATGAGTGTTTGAACTGCATCTTGAAAGAGTTGTCCTTAGGTAAGGTATGAACAGAGGGAGGAAAATTCCCAGCCTCAGGAAGGGAGAGGGGCTATAAGAAAGTTGTTAGAGGATGAGGTAAAGTATAAAAGTTTTGTTCTGTGTACTGCACAGTTCTAAAGCATTCTTCCTACACATGTAATACATCAACAGCCTTGCATGCCTTTTTTCTTAATAAATATTTCTGGTTTGCTTTTTAAAAATCTATTTTGGCCTGTTTCATGCAAGATCTAACAATGGCAAATGCTGTGGAGAGCAAGCCTAAAATGTTCAAAACAGCCTTAATGAAACCTAGAGAGATTGCAGCAAACTGCCACTTCCTAAGGATGGATCATGTCTAGAGTAGACCCATTGAAACCAATGAAATGTCACTTAGGATGGGTTCACATAGCAAGCAACGGTGGGGGGCGGGGTTTCCACACAAGTTTGTCTCCCATGTCACCCAAACTCTATGGTTTCCTGGAATCACGATAGCTTGTTCTGTCATCCAAATCCAGAAAATCATGGTACCAAGTACTGCACCATAGAGCCTCTTGGCAAGAGTGGCCCACTGCTGCTCTTGCCGAGCAGCTATCCAGAGAGCACCACTGACCACTGCCGTTCTGCACAACTGCTTCAACCACATCCTGTTCTAAAGATCTTCTTTGGGGCAGGAGTGAACAATCAACTGGTCAGTGCTTGGAAAACAACATCACTGCTCACCTGATTGGAAAACAACATCACTGCTCACCTGATTCCCCCACCAGCCCTCCTGTGGGGCAGTGGCAAAGTAGCACATGGTTAGAGGCTGCACACCCCAACAGACTCCCCTCTGGCATCCCTTTCACATGCAAGCAGGAGGGGTGAGAATCAAGAATCAGCTGTGTGTCTTGGTAGATTCCCTCACTGCTCCCCCCCCCCTTTGTTACAGCTAGTTGCTGGTAAATGGCCTCAAGAAAGAGGGTTAAGAAGGCAATCAGCACCAGCTGATGCTCATCCCATCAGCAGGAGGGGGGAATCCACTGAGCAGCACAGCCCCCAACTAGGCACTGACACCCAGTGGCTTCTCACTCCTCCTGCTTGTGCATGTAAGGGTCTTCCCTCAGTTGTGCATGGAGGCCAAGGCAGAAAGTGACCTCTCCAGTGGCTAACCCAGTGGGGATTGGGGAAATGGGGCAGTGGGTGCCATAGCCTGTTAGGCTAGGCAAGGCAAGGCAAGGCGCTCCTTCTGTCACCACACATTGCCACTCCAACCTGGGGTTCTGTGGGCAGCATGTTTTGGAGCCCCACAGCTGCTCTCCATACACCTATAAGTGCCAGGAGAATAGGATCAGCAGGAATGCAGGGGGAAGCCACATGAAGTGTCACTTGGCCATTTTGTCAGCTGTTGCTGGCTAAAGCCCCTTTGCCAGAGCAGCAACTCATTTTTTGCACTCTGAAAAAGGGGTTTTGTAGTTTTTCAGCTTGATTGTGACATGTCACCTGTGTTCAGACTACACACTAAGTCATGGTGGGACAAAAGAAGTCATTGATATTTGAGATGGTTTATGCACCACCCTAGGGTGTCCTAGAATCCCACTCCCCCCAGAAAACAAGGAGATTCAGATGACATGCTAAAGTGACCTCCCATGTGTTTAGTGTCTTGTGTGAACCCAGTCAGCATAAGCTTGCTATGGGAAACAGGAGCACAACACTGTCATACCCACAGGAAAAACAAATCTGTGTCTAGCATGGAGCTACTCTAATAATTCTCCTTTAAGTGTCACTAGTATGGCTTCATCCTGAATAGGGCAGTTCATTCCAAGAACCCATGGTTCAGGAAGTACGCTGACAAAAAGGCCTACATATATATGATGCAAACAATGTGATTAGCAATCACATCACAGGTTTTTTTAAAAAAAAATCAGTATCCAATTTTAGTCACCAAATAGGGTCATTTAAATCAGTGGGATTTAATTTATTCATGACTAACTTAAGCTCCACTGATTTTGTGACTCTGTTCCAAGTATAACTAAATCTGGAACTAACCTCAGCTGGTAAGGGAAGATTGTCCTCAGGAATGCAAATATATAGAGGGGAAATTTATACCTTTCGTTCCCAAACACAGTACTGGGTTGGCAATTGGACTTAGAAAGCTCCCACTGTGTTTCCTAAGTGCCACACTGGGATGGGGCGTGGGGGTACCAATATTGCAGCTAGGGAGGGAAGAGTTAAAATTTCCCTCCCTGTTCCTAATGGCAATCTATACATCCCTCCCCGCACTTCCATGTCTGGTAATTTTTTTTAAATCCACAACATGATTGCTAATCATGTCATTCATGTCCATGGAGAAATAAGAAATGGTTCACCTATGCTCAGGGCTTTTTTTGTCATAGAACAGAGTTCCGGCACCTTTTTTTGATGGATTTTTCCAACGGATTTTTCCAAGTGATTTTGAATCGCCCTGCCGGGCTTAGCAGGTCGGCAGCAAAAATCATTAAAATAGTGCATGCAGGCTGCTTGTGTGCCTGCGCTGATTGTGAGGGCACTGCTCGGCCTGGGACGCTGCTTGGCTTGGGACTGGTCGTGTGGTCACGTGCTGAGTGCCCACTGCCGGCAGTGACCATTATGGCGGTGACCATTATGTTTATGTGTGTGTAGAGTGACTGGCTATGTGCAAAGGGTAAGTAAGTTCTTTATTTCAAAAAAAGTTGGTGAATTGAAAATCTTTTTTAGTGTAAAAGTATGACCCCAAGACGTGAGTTCCGCCACCTTTTTTTTTTTTTTTTTTACAAAAAAAGCACTGCCTATGCTGAACACCATTACAACAGCAAACAGAAGGAAGACAATAAAGAAAAAGATGGCTGAGATTCTCTGGAAAGTATAAAAGAATGTGAGAATAGCTGTATGAGTTGTTCTGCATAGGTCTAATGCCACCTGGAAACATCCATCATGTACTCTTGTTGACCTCTTGCCTGCACTGGATTTGATGTAGGCTTGTTTTAAGTTTATTGCACTGCATTCATCTGAAGTGGTGGAGGTGATGGTGCAAATTTCTCATCATGGTTCCTATATGGAAGGCTGGTTCCAGGTTGGCCAAGTTGAACATTTCTCCAAGACCCTGGCCAAAGGTCCACTGCCCCCACAGTGGCACTATTCCCATACTGTATCCCACAAGGTCAGATGCTGTGTGACACAGCTCTGATTCTGCATGTCTTCTTTTCCAAGCTAAAGGTGCCCAGGTCCAGCTCTGGAGGGGGGAAGCAATTTAAACATGCAGTAGCTGTAAAAAAATTAAATAGCCTTACACCCTTTGCCTTACCCCACAAATATGGGCCTGAAGTGGCCCACTGAGGATGCTTTGTGGAGTCACTAGAGCAATCATGGAGTCAGTAGAGCAAATCTGCATGCAATCTATCCCACAAATAGAACATCTCAGCCATCAGTTTCATCCTTTGCCTATGACTCAAAAGGGATTAATGTTCTGGTTTGTGTGTGTTTATCTATTATTTTGGGAAATACATTTCCGTCTTACCATATGAAGACATGACCCATCTTCTCTCTAAGTTTTTTCAGAGCCTGAGAAATGGCAGTGCTTGCGTAAAAGCCTTTGGAAACTGGGAGGTACTGCATGGATAACAGCTGAAGGGAACTATTTGGTGCTTGAAATGCACCCAAAAACAGTGCCTGAATTTTGCAGCTGTTGGGAGGAAGCAGACTCAGGGAGATGTAGTTATGTGCAATTGCTTTTGAGGAACGGATGGTTTTGCCATTTTTATTGTCATCCTCCCCCACCAACCTCATCAAATTTTTCCATTTGTAAACAATCATACATTATGAAAACAACACAGGTCTTTAGTATACTGAAATAAGACACTGAAAATGCTATCTTGAAAAACCATTTGAGGAAGTGAGGAGCACAAATGACAACCACTTACTCATTTGTATAAATGCCTGACCACTAATCCTGACTCACAGAAAATGCAAAGTAACTTCAGATTTTCTCCCCTCTGAAAGGAAGTGCCACCAATCCTCACAATTGCTCTAATCATTTTACAGGAAAAGAAAGTTCCAGAAAGAGGATGGTGGCTACCCAATGACATACTTCCTGACAACAGTTTGAGTACAAGAAGTGCACAGTAAGCAATGTGAACCGTGATCTGAGCAGGGCTGCAGAAACATTTCAAACATTCAGATGCCAAGACCTGCAGTTAGGACAGAGAGGACCAAATCATAACCAGAGATGGACAACAGGTAAGATGGATCACATCTCACCCTTGCCCCCAAATAGTTATATTTGAGAGTCAGTGTGGTGTAGTGGTTAAAAGCATGGGACTGGGACTCAGAAGAACTGGATTCTAGTCCCTGCTCAGCCATGGAGCCAACTGGGTGACTTTGGGCCAGTCACAGACTCTCAGCCCAACCTACCTCACAGGGTTGTTGTTGTGGGGATAAGATGGAGGAGAATGATGTAACCTGCCTTGAGCCCTGTGAGGAAAAAGGCAGGGTATAAATCGAAAAATAAATAAATAAATGTTTAAGCTCTCTGGAGACCTACCACATTTTGTTTATTTTTTATCTGCCTTTCTTCAAGCTTCTCAGAGTAACTTCCAGCCTCCCATCTAGCAATTTGACATTGAAACAGCATCACTTGTCTCCAAACTATTTTCTAGGAGAAACATGGTGTGCAGGCCATGGAGGACACAGTGAGGAGCTCTGTCTAAGTTTCATATTTAGTTACTATAGC